ATTAGTTCGCATCGTCGGATGAAGTCAGGACAGGTCCTGGTTCCAGCTGGTGTGATGGTGGCTGCGGCAGTTGACGCAGACCGTGGAGCGTGGGGATGAACATTCGGAGGTACGGTGTTGATTGCTGCATGTGCCGCATACGTCAGCTTCCGCGGAGCAGTTCCTTGCTATGTGTCCGTATTTCTGACATTTCGCACAGCGAATGGGTTCGCGTCTGTCTTTGCGAACTGCAATGCGCTCATTGTTAATACATATACCTTCCTTAAGGATGAGATTCGCCGTGTGTGGGTCCGTAATGTGGGCCAGGGCGAAGGCCTTGCACTGGTTTGTAGATCGTCTTTGGGGGGGTTTAATCCAGCGGATGGATGCAATCGAGTTTTCTGGGAGGTTATTGTCTTGCTCTATTGATCTGAGGAATGTGTCGTCTTGAATTTGGAGCTGGATGGGGAGGTATTCAGCAACGATAGGGTATGTACGAATACGAAACGATACAGCGCTGTTGAGTTGTTCTGTCAGTGCTACCTTGCTTGTGGGTTTGCGGAGCCAGTCAGCTAGTGTTTCTGACTCCAACTCGATTACGAATCCTCCGTTGTGTAGTGCAGTGATGGATTTGATGTCGCCTGTTGGAGTGTCAGGCTTACGAATGTCGGCGAGAGCAGATTTCAGTTTCTTTACTATGTCAGCGTGCGGAGTGTCCAGTGGGAAGAGGTTGTTGCCTGGTGTGGGATCCAGTAAGATTTCACGTGCCCAAATGGCTGCTCGTCCGATAGCTTTGTCGATTGATGGGGTTAGGTTGGTCGTTACAATTGAGCTGTACGTTTGACGTTGAGGTTGGGATTGGCTGATGTCGGTCTCTATGGTATCCCCTTCATAGTGGGTAGGCGCATGTTGGGTTAGTTGGGTGGACAGGGTATTGAGGCACTCTTGAGTGGTGTCGAGAGATGGAGAGAGGAGTTTCAATGCATTCTGACAGTCTTCGACTGATGTGTGAAGTTCATCGGCTGCTGTTTCAATGCGTGTTGCTGAAATTTGCAGACCGTCGTCCATTTCATCCCGGTCGTTTGCCATAGCTTTACGTACTGCTTCAGTTCGTTCCACGGTGTCCAAGAGTAGGTCAGATGCGGATAGTAGCTTCGCCATTTGTGGTGCCATGGCCCCCACGACGTGCTCAATAATGCGGGGGGTCAGTGTTTCCGAGAGGTGTCGCGCTACCTCAGTGGCCGTCTCGCATGCTGCATGCTGTTTGAGGATGAAGGCGACCGTACGTATAGCTGTGGAGACCGGGAGTGGAATGGTGTCTCGCATTTGTGTAATCTGAAATAGAATGGAGATCACGTGCGTTAGAGTGAATGGTTCATCGGGGAGACTTAGAAGATTTTTATTGAGATACTTCTCTGCTGAGGTGTATCCAGTTACTGGGTTAGGGATTGCTTCGATTTCATTCTGCGTTAATGGGGACTTGTTGGACTGTCTGGTAGCTGGGCCTGCAGGAAGAGGTGTAATGGTTGAGCCGGTGGGCACACCCTTTGCTCCCTTCGGTGCGGGCATATGGATCTGTTTTTGATATCAATTTAAATGTTTTTGTGAGTTTTATGAAGTTTTCAGAGAGATACTTAGACGCCTGTGGGCGTCGTTTGCGCTGTTGGGCGCAGTGTTGAAATTTGGTTTTCGGGGTCCTAGTCGGGGTGCCACTTGGTGTAGGTCCAAGAAGCCGCTTCTCCTAAATATTGATAACCCCGATGTGCGGTACGACAGACATTTAAATTTGCTAAATCAGTAGGTCCTGGGAGTGTACTGCAACCTTTGAAAAATTCTCACTGTAAAGCGAGTCTCGCCGTGCGTGGTTCATGGGTCCAGCGTAAAATATTCACAACCTTCTTCAATTGTTTGCTTTGTTCGCTGACGGTCTATCGCATGCGATCATTCATCGTGCACCTGCTGTTGCTGGTTTCCTTTTACTCTCTGGGATATGAAACCGAGATCATGCTGCGGCTAATGGCTCATCAATCATGCAGTCTCCCATTGAGCTTGAGAAGTCTATAATGAAAGTATAGTAAGACAGAAAACCGATGGCAAGCAGGCACATATCCAAGATAGTTATATCAAAGCCTTTATCATCATCTGCCTAACATCCAGTACCACTCATCCGTCGGTTAACCCACAGGCCCAAGCTTTATCCCAAGAGTAAAAATACTGTGAAAAGTGGGTCTTATCATGCGTAACCTCGAAGGAAAGACCATCCGAATGTATCCTCTTATTTCCAGGATCCGTCACGGGAAACCACGGTGGCCCCCACCGGAAGGAGTCAGGATCCTGGTTGTAAAGGGCAGCAGACATCGTGAATCGCTCCACATGCAAGTCTATTCCCCTTGTGGCATATGCGGCATATGAAATTGACTTGAAATCGTGGAGGGGAGGCAGATGCGGGTAGACCACTGAAAAGGTTTCAAGGCTCTCCATAAAATCCCACGTATTGTCTATCATCCAAAAACACACCGGCACTTTTGGCGAATTTACACCACAGCTGATGCCGCGAAAAGTGTCTGAGTGCTCAGCCAAATCGATTAGGTGAGTGAGATGTAGGATTGATGCAAAGAAAACATGTGTTTTGACTTCGTCGTAACTCCTGTCCTCCTCCCGTGGTTGACGTATTATTGTTAGATTTTTGGTTTTCCAGGGAAAAGAAGAGTGTCCGCCGACATTAAGATCTGTGCGAGAAGACCATGCATCTTGCACGCTCTCCACGATATATCTTACATTGCGATGGTCAGCCGCAAGTTCTGGCGCAGCAAGGATCACTGGAAGCAACACGCTTATGTTGCGCGCTCGCTCCTCATCTTTTCTTGGGTGAAAATATCTGATGCGCAAAAGAAAGGGAGAGTCTTGGTCCTCCGACCGGGCCTTTGCATAGACGAAATAGTCAAATGCGTCACTAATCCATATCCTCTGTGCAGCGGAGGTATAGTCAAAGAAAAGATCGCTCTTTTCTTCAGCGTACGCTTTCTGCATAAGCAAAGCATCTGCGAACTTCTTTAAGCTGTGACGTCGGCGGAGCAAGATCGTGTGCAGGAAATCGGGGAGAATGATGCGTCTGACAAGTCGAGAGACGAGACATAAGGAGAGGGCGGTTGAGTAAGGATTTTTAATGTCATATTTCTCCCTTTGAGAAAACGTCGGCTGGGCTGCGTTTTTGCAGATGGTCAAGATAGTCTCGATGGGAAGCTTAGGCACCATGATGTAAGGGTTAGATACGTACCTCGTTAGAAATGGCCCTGCCTTTAATACCCTCAGCATCAATTGTGGCGTCAGATCCGCAGCAAGATATGTACATCAATATTCAAGTTGTGTGTGGGACCGCACGTTGTGACAACGAGGATAAAAAAAAATTGTGACCGATGGTCCATAACACAGTTATTGTTTCTTCTAGGTCACACGTACTCTTGTCCTGCGGAAATTCCTATTTGTAATCCCCAAAGAGCAATGATGCGAATGTGGCACGAACCATAGAATATACCTTCCGACCCGAGTCGATGACACACATATGGACTCATTCATGGCACAACTCTTATAATGCATGGCTGACCACTGGGTTAAGTTGGTCTCGGGCCGATTTCACTGCAACGATGTTCTCAGTGCGCCTCTATCTTGAGGTTGGACTAATAATATGGATGCTTACTAGTTGAGTTTGAGTAGAGGATTCGGTGACTTGGTGAAAAGTACCGGCCGAAGTATTGACAGCCCAAGTCACCAATCATACGATGCTACAGAAGTTCGATTGTGAACTGAGTACTTGAAATGATCGTCACTAAGGCTCAGAACAGTACGGCAGGTTTTCCCGTCCTACGGCGGCAAACAGGCCAGTATAGGCGGAGTTAGAAATTACCTGAGTGTCAATATCAATATTATTATTAGTTTTATTGACGCTCACGAGTGACGCACCTGTCTTTGACGGACTCGGATCACTTTCGACGGCAGCATGACAGGTATTCGTATCGAAAGATACAGGTTCGGATCAGCACCACTACGTCAATGAGCCAATCTCAGATCTTATCATCAGTTTCCCAAACAATTATTAGACCCGTTCATCCAGAGATCGACATACCTCGACCAGTAGCAAATGAGCACAGCCGCCACAGCCACCCCGTCAAAGTCGCTGAGGCAGGCCGCATCATTGGCGCCATGCGGCTGATATTTTTATCGTACAAATGCTCTGTGGTTTTCTATGCCTGGAAGATGGGTTACACACCGCTGGGAAGATAAACATCTGATCGACCCTAAAACCATACCTGACTGCATATCATGATAGCGGTGCTTGGAAATTCGCTTCGAACATATACTAGTAGCCAGAGCTGGCATGAGCACATGGAATCCGGTACAGTAGCATACAGCACAATTCAGGCTGATGGTAATTGGATGATAGGAGAAATTTCGTGAATCTCATTTCATAAACAGCCGCCTTGACCTGGAGATTATGTCAGCTGCAAAACGGTTACCTTTGTGATGTGCGTGATGTCGGAGCATGAACTAGAGGTATGCGAATCACAATACTGTTTTTGCATCTAGCATCCCTACCGTCAGCGTGATTGCATCATTTATTATTCACACACAATATTCTTCGCTTACGACCAAGTGTAAGTCTCATAGAGTCTCTGAAACGCATGAATACAGCCGAACGCCCACTAATCAGATGTAATGCAAACTCGATGTGGCGCGAGATCCGTGTCAACGCGTTGTTTGTTTGTTACTGACCTCTCGCACAGCTCGTTGGTCCTCATGTCTATGGGGAAGTGCTGAGCCCTGGTAGAATCTTCTGCCGAATCTCAAAAGGCTGGGCGGGTTGTACCATGACGGAACTTGAAAGAGTCCATATGCGCGTCGTCGAGTCTAGTCGGAAGGTACATTCTACGGTTCGTGCCACATTCGCATCATGACTACGATGGTCTTTGAGGATTATAAATAGGAATTTCCGCAGGACAAGAGTACATTGGATTTCTGCGACCTAGAAGGAACAATAAGTAACTGTGGTATGGGCCATTGGCCACAAGTTGTAGTCCCACACAATCATCTCTTGCTCTGGATGTAATGCTACAATTGATGAGGAAGTATTAAAGGCAGGACTCGTTCTAACCAGGTTAGCATCTTGCACTCCCATCATGGAACCTGCTATCCGTTTTACAATTAGCGACCTTCCCATTGAGATTGCCCTCATCGTCTTGACATATGCGGCCAAGCCGACATTTTCCCAAGAAGAGAAATATGATGATAAAAATCCCTATTCCACTGCCGTCTCCCTATGTCTCGTCTCTCGACTGGTGAGACGCACCATCCTCCCCGAATTCCTGCACACGATCTTGCTTCGCCGACCCAACAGCTTGAACATGTTTGCAAATGCTCTGCGCATGCAGAAAGCGTACGCTGAGAAAGAAAGCGATCTCGTCTTTGACTATATCTCCGCTATAAAGAGGATGTGGATCGATGACTCGTGTAACTATCCCGTCGATGTACAGACGCAGACGATGTAGACTAACGATTTCTGTATAGCATGTCGCCCATCAGATTCTCAGTTCGATCCGGACATGAACGTGCTAGTTCCGGTGTTACTTGCTACGCCAGCACTTGCGATTGACTCCCACCTATTATTGTTTGTCATGGAGAGCGTGCAAAATGCATATACAGATCGCAATGTCAGCGGACACTCCCCCTTTCCTGGGAAACCCAAAAGTCTGACGTTAACGGGTCTCAATGTCGACTGCAAGATCTTCCACGACATTTGGACAGGATTTATTTTCCTTACATGCATCACCCGTATCGCTTGCCTCACCGATTTGGAGGCGGATTCAAGCAGTTTTTACGACAGGTCCAGCAGGGGCTTACAATCTCCAGCACACCCGCTACGTAATTGGATATGCGTCACTCCGTGGGATTGCATGAAGGACCTTGAAGCCTTTTCAATAGTTTACCCGCATCTGACGGCACCCTGCGATAACGATTCATGTATTGATCGCACAAAGAGAGCAGATGTGCATGTGGAGCGACTTACAGTGTCTACTTCCCTGTACAGGCAGGACCCCTTCTCGTGGCAGACAGCGCTGCTTTCTGTGATGGATCCTAGTAGAAAGAAGAAGAGAATATTGGATGGTCTTTCCTTCAAGGTTACGCGTGATCAGATGCACTTGACACAGGTTTTGTGCTCGTGGCATAAAGCTTGGGCCTCCGGGTTAATCGACGGATGAGGGGTTTCCGTCTTGCTGTACTCTTACTATAGATTTCTCATACTAAATGCACAGGATGCAGACTGTATGATCCATGATGCATGAGACATCAGCCGCAGCATGATCCGGGTTCCAGATCGTAGAGAGCGACAGGAAACCAACAACAGGTACGCGGTGAACGTTAACGATCGCATGCCTTTTCGAGTGAAACTGCACGGGACTCACTCTACAAGGAAGCGAGTTGTGTTCACGATGCACACTAAGAATGCAATTCGGATAGGGCAGCCTAGCTTGTCAATTGTTGCTTCACAGGCCAGTGGGTACATTTGCAGGACATCTTTATAATTGTAAACCTCGGGGTTGTTCGCCATGCACTCGACTCGTTGAACCACAACAAGTCTTGGCCGTTGACAATACGGACGCCTCTTATGTGTTAGATGGAACGATCTAGTTGGGGATCGTTCTGCAGACTTCTCGAGCAGCATAAGGTCCTTGCGCGTCTCAATGAGTCAAATAGCAGACGTGTACGCCTATTTATAGTTTTATACTCGTGGTTACCAATGATTGCATATTCTGATCATCAAGAACAAGAACCGGGTGTTTGGTTATGAGTGAGCTGTCTGGTGTTTGCGCTGTGTCTGTAGCTGACGCCAGGTCACAGAATAAAGAAATTTGAATTTCCCGTTGCGAAGAGAACTAACACAATTCTGCCAAATTAAAAATCGTGCCCATGAGTATATAAAAGCTGGTTGTCGTCCTTCAGTGTTCCCTTCAGAAGATTCCATATCACCTCACACACAAAATGCGTCTCTCCCTCCTTGCTGTTGTTGTTGCTTTGACAGCATCTATGTTTGTCAGCGCATGCAATAACCAGTTTGGACCTTGCAAAACAGATCTAGATTGCTGCGAGCCCTGGATATGTTGGTATCGTGGGGTGAGTATGAGCAGGTTGCTGTGCAACCAGAATTCAACCACATGACACACCTGCTCACCTTAGCCTCAGGATGATTTTTCCAATAAGCTATGTGTGGCAGGACTGGCAGAGTGAACGGAAGCCCGAGCGGCATATCGCGTCGGTGGGTCATACTTCTGCTTTCGCTTTGGTATCATGCTTGATGATGCAATACCCAGGTCGCAGTGACACAGTCAATCAGTACAGTTATTTTTGAACGAATTTTCGTGCTGCTCGAGCGATATTGATGTAGACAATTCAGATGAATTTTACGAACAGAAAATCACAGAAGTAAGACAGACAGACAGGCGAGACAGCGAAGGGAAAGATAGATAGATATACTTACATAAATAATCTGACCACAAGGTAGAGCCTGCGAGGGAGAAGAAATTGAAGATGCCCGAATGATGGTGGCATCATGCGTCTGGGCTTAGCTTCTCGAACCCTCGCCTGGAACTCAACAGCGCATTGCTCCGACACTCTGGTTGGTGATTTTGATGCAACGATCGTGCCAGATGAAATTGCAGATGTTTTCTTAGCAAGAGCGAGCGCTGTATAGAGATATCGACATAAGACATTATCATACAAGAAAAATATACTGCGAATAAGACGGCAGAACTTACGGTCCACGACAAAGGCTCAATGGGGTTCCAGCGTCTTTGGTAGTGTCAGAAGCTTGCAGAAAACTTCCACTGCACCCACTACCGAAACGCTCTGCGAGTCCTTTGGCATTCCGAAGCATCTTCTGCCTCTGTTGATCGTCCATAGGCCGTCCACCTAGAGAAATATCATTTCTAGGAAACAGAGGGTTCACTCTGCTTGTGCTTGTCTTCCTCCTTTTCTCGCTCTAGAATCTAGATAAGGGCTGAACCACGAGCCTTGCACTAGCAAATAACGCGTCAAGTTCCATTTAAAATTAACGAACAGTCAAAAGACACATACTGCAAATATCTTCATCCCGTCGCCGTCGCTTTGCTGTGTCACCCGAGTCCTCTTCTGATGGTGTATTTGCTGCACGTCGTTTGCGTCCAGCAACTTCGTAGCAAGACGTTGCTGTCTTTTCGCTAGCATCTCGGTCCAAAGGAAAGTGTCACACGATGGCGGAGCGCTACGTACGAACTGACGAGGCCTGGCTTTCGTCGGATCAAGTGCTGTATGACTTTGATAAGTACACAAGTTAGAGGACCGCGTGTTGAATGAAACGTACATGCCAATAAGTCGCCACTTTTTGGAGGTACAAGCATCTACTCTTCCCGCTGAAGCTTTTTCAGCTTGGTCGCCTCTTCCTGAACTTTCCTCCCTCTCCAATAACTCCTCCACCCCTGACTTTCCTTCTATTTGTGAAGCACAAGCTGCAGGAAGTGGTCGAGGCCTAACATCTAAATCTGAATCATCATTGTAAGGAGCTTGCGAGAGAGGTAATGACGGTCCTACGTAGTGTCGTTTTGGAGGCGGTGTACAGGTATTCGATTCGCTTTTGAGGGCAACGAAGCTTGAAGGCCCAGCTGCGTGGGAAGCAGTAAGGTCGGATGGCAGAGCCGGTGTGTAATCGTCGTCTCCGTCAGAATCTCCGGCTGATACAACAGTTGGAAGGACGTGTGCTGGAATTTGTAGGCCTATGGAAAACATTTGAGAGTAACGCTGTGAATTCCAAGAAACCGGAATTCTCGAAAGTCCGCCGGGTCCGCCTGTCCGGCAGGGGGGTCCGTCTGTCCGTCGGGTCTTGCATTTTGACAACGCAACTTGCAAACAACACAGCTAGAGGCAGCAGTGAGCACCAGGTCGCTGCTTTCTTTGTCTCATGGAGTTCATATGTGCACTTATTACCGCTCTCTGCTGAATTCATTTCTTGGTCTTTGCAACAGTACCTTGGTCAGAGGGTCCGAAGATACTTCGAACCCTGAGCCAACCCCAGTGCAAATGCAAACCTGGCCAGGGCGTCCGAAGTTGCTTCGAACCCTGTGCTGGTGAAGCAATTTGACCCGCAAATATCTTTCAATGAACACCTGTTCCACTTTTCCACGTCTCTACCTTTATATAGCTTTCAACCATGTCAGTAACCGTTCAAGAGCCTCAAGCTTGTCACTAACAAGGTCCGTTTGGTATATATATTTGCAAGGGTCTGATTAGGGAGAGAATATTCTGCGCGAGGTCCGTCGTCAGATCATCAAATTCCTCACGACGGACCGCTAAGCCTTTAGCAGGAATATATTGCGAAGATGGTCTTCAAGCTGGCAGAGGACTTGGAGAACGCCGAGAATATTCATGCACTGTGCAGTCTCATGCAAACCATATGTGCGTTTATCTGCCGCCCCGTGACGAATTTTTGTTGACGATATTTTGTAGTAGTAATGATTCATGATCATAGACTATACGAGCATATCCTCGATGACAGTATGTTCTTTGGTGCCGTACAGGCAGTGTTATTTGCGGGGGTCAACGTGTGCTTGGCGCGTCAGGATGCTTTATAAGCATCCTGCAAAGGCTGATGCCCTCGCACTTGCCCTAAGTGGAGCTTCGGGCGACTGGAGAAACGCCAACGTTATGCCATCGTCTATATCAATACTCGCAGCTTGTAGATCGGTGAGCATCCTTAGAACGTGTTCAATTCAAACCTGACTAACATTGTTTTCCGCAAGCCTTCCTGCCATTCCTGTTCCGCCTGCATCCTCCGCTGTCTCTCAACGGCAAACTATGCATCCCCCTGCGCAGACTGCACCTTTTTCATCAGTCGCTCCCGTGTTTAACTCGCAAGGCAGAGTAACATACAAGGCTTCGCGCACTTCCTCATTTGATTTGCCACGGTCTGCTTATGAAGGGGGTCCTGGACAATATAGCAGTCAGCCAGCTACTTCTAATCAATACCAGCATCCATCTTCATCTCACCAACAATACCCTTCATCATCACAGCCTCAGTCGCAGTATGGAACACCACCGTCCAACACATACCCTACACCCATGCCATATTCACAATCACAGTCTAGGTATGAACACCCACCCCAGCAGTCGCAGCAACATGCTAGCCCAAATGGTGATTCGTACTATGAGTTATCTCCAGCTGCCTCGTTTGGACCCTCTGACAACCATGGACAACCATCCTGCTATCCCTCCAGTCAGTCCTCCGCTCATCCTCCATCATGGAACACCCCTACCCCTACCCCTCCCGCTAATCCACAACTCATCATCCGCACCATCTCATGCCCAATCATACGAGTTCGACCATCAACAGCCCTACCCGAACTCCAGCGCAAGCGACTACTACCAACCATCCAATTCAATTCACTCCCAGGCCCACCCCCCTCGCGTCACCTCTCCAGCTCCCTCTCGATACGTGGAACAACTCAGCTAGCGAGCACGGGCTCATTCAACTCGCACCGCTCCGCCAGCACGCAACTTCTTCCTCCTTGTCCTCATCTGACGCCTCGTCGCCAGTGGCTGGGAACACGAACACACCAGGCAGGGGCGGAGGGGCGTATCCGCTGATCCAGCTGTTGTATTTGTTAGATGGAACGATCTAGTTGGGGATCGTCCCGCAGACTTCTCGAACAGCATATAGGGTCCTTGCACGTCTCAAATAGCAGACGTGTACGCCTATTTATAATTTTATACTCGTGGTTACCAATTGCATATCTGATCATCAAGCCAAGTCACAGAATAAAATAGTCCGGTGGAAATTTGAATTTCCGAATTCGAAGAGATTTAGAGAGAACCTTTAAACACAATTCTGCCAAATCGAAAATCGTGCGCATGAGTATATAAACGCTGGTCGTCATCCTGCAGTGCTCCCCCATCCTCAAAGATCTCTTTCAGAAGATTCCATATCACCTCACACAGAAAATGCGTCTCTCCCTCCTTGCTGTTGTTGCTGCTTTGACAGCATCTATGTTTGTCAGCGCATGCAAGGATCTGTATGAACCTTGCAAAACAGATCTAGATTGCTGCGAGCCCTGGATATGTTGGGGATATTGGCTCCTCCAATTGGTGTGAGTATGAGCAGGTTGCTGTGCAGCCAGGATTCAACCACATGACACACCTGCTCACCTTGGCCTCAGGGTGCTAAGCTCTGTCACATTGCGGCAGGACTGGCAGAGTGAAAATTGAGCTGGAAGCCCGAGCGGCATATCGCGCCGGTGGGTCATATTTCTGCTTTCGCTTTGGTATCATGCTTGATACCTAATTAGCAGTGGCATAGTCGACCAGTACAGTTTTTGGACAAATTTTCTGCTGCTCGAGTGATGTAGACGTCTGACTTGTCTAAAAATTATTGACCCTGCCTAGTCTTGCTCGTCGCCCACTAAGCCTAAGTTCGAGAGGCTATCGAAACTAGCGATCCGAGTCATTGGTCAATATTGGGAGGCTGTAAGAAGATGAAAGCACCATGAAGCCCAAGGTCATATGGGAACGCACGTTGTGATGAAAGTGAAAAAAGGGGGTGACAAAGATAAAGATAAAGAGGATTCGTATTACTGCCTGCACGGTACTTTCAATCAAAGAGTAGCGTGGGGACCTCAGGAGTGATTCTCTTCATCGAGCGAATGTTGGCGAACTGAAGGTTTAAATCATAGCAGTGAAAACCCAGTGTACGCCTATTTATAATTGTATACTCGTGGTGACCGATTGCATATCATCAAGAAGAACCGGGTGTTTGGCTATGAGTACTGGTGAGCTGTCTCGTGTTACGCAGGAATAATGAAGGCTGTATGCGCTGTACCTGTAGCGGATGCCAGGTCACAAAATGCAATTGTCTGGCAGCAAATATAATTTCCGAATTGCAAAGAGTGGAGCATTACGAAGAGATTTAGAGCGAACTAACACAATTCTGTCAAATCGAAAATCGTGCCCATGAGTATATAAAAGCTGGTTGTCATCCTGCAGTGTTCTCACATCCTCAGAGATATAATTCGAGATCTCTTTCAAAAGATTCCATATCACCTCACACACAAAATGCGTCTCTCCCTCCTTGCTGTTGTTGTTGCTGTGACAGCATCTATGTCTGTCGGTGCATGCAGTAATGAGTATCAACCTTGCGAAACAGATAAAGATTGCTGCGTGCTCTATTATTGTGAGGTGAGTATGAGCAGGTTGCTGTGCAACCAGGATTCAACCACATGACACACCTTTGCCTCAGGGTAATGAACCTTCGAGCAAGTTCTGTATAGCAGGATAGGCAGAATGAAAATTGAGCTGGAAGCCCGAGCGGCATATCGCGTCGGTGGGTCATACTTCTGCTTTCGCTTTGGTATCGTGCTTGATGGTGCAATACCTAATTCGCAGTGGCATAGTCGATCAGTACAGTTTTTGGACAAAATTTCCGCTGCTCGAGTAATGTAGACCTCTGAACTTATCTGAAAATGATTGACCCTGCCTAGTCTTGCTCGTCGCCCACTAAGCCTAAGTTCAAGAGGCTATGGAAACTAGCGATTCGAAGCATTGCTGTTGATGATCAATATTGGGAGGCTGTAAGAAGATCGAACGCACCGTGAAGCACAAGGTCGTATGGGAACGCGCGTTGTGATTAAAGTAAAAAAGGGGGTGACAAAGATAAAGATAGAGAGGATTCATGTTCCTGCCTGCACGGTACTTTCAATCAAAGAGTGGCATGGGGAACTCGGGAGTGATCGTCTTTATCAAGCGAATGTTGGATGAGGTGCAAGGGACACGGACACGGTGGAAGAGGAACTTTGAAGAACGTTGGCACGTTATAGCAGCTTCGTCAACAAGTACTGTTCCTGGTCTCCGAGAGGCGAGGGAGTACAGTGTCGTCTGAGTATGCCACAGATGAACTCGATCGATATCGTCGTGAATTGTCAGATGGAGAGCGAAACTTTAAAGAAAGCTGTGGTGGCGAATGACCACGACAAGTACTAGGGATTTTGACCACGTACTACTACACAAGAATGAGTATCATTTCTGTTGTCCCTGCGCAGCAGTTGCAGGGTCATGGCGAACTGAAGTTTTAAATCGTGGAGAGAGATCGGAGTGAAAAACCAGGAGGTTCAAGCGAGCGTTCGAGTTGGAGGTTGTTGAGTCACAGCATGAAACAGTTGTTCTTCATCAGGATCGGAAATATCGACGAGATTCACGAGAATGAGCAGCAACTTCTCCACTTGGTCGCTGCGCAGGGCCACTGCAGGTTCAAATGATGAAGCGATGGGTGAAAGATTGGGTTGTGATACAATAGTCGTAATCAAGCGAACACATTCTTGTACGTTCTGCCTAAATTTCTGTCATCTGATAGCAATAACAATTCTGCCAAATCGATCAGAATTGTGCTCATAAGTATATGCAGGGTATAAAAGCTGGTCATTGGCCTACAGTGTTCCCCTATCCTCAAAGACATCATCCCCCCTCAAAAGATTCCTTATCACCTCGCACAGAAAATGCGTTTCTCCTTCTCCCTCCTCCTCGTCGTCGCTTTGACATCATCTATGTCTGTCAGTGCATGTGTAACCCAGGGTCAACCTTGCACCCCCGGGTCAGATGACGAATGCTGCTTTATATTGGTTTGTGTGGCTAATGGCGTGAGTACTAGCAGGTTGCTGTGCAACATAACTCACCTGCGCACCTTAGTTGAATGGCACTTCAGTCTGCACATCATAGCCGGTTTGAAAATTGAGCCGGTAGCCTGGGCGGCACAGTGAGTCGTGTTTCTGGTTTTGCTTGGGTAGTGACCATGCTTGATGGTGCAATACATTACTTTTGCAAACTGGTGTAAACGTCGACCGGTCGGTGTTCATAAACTTGTTCCTTGTTCTTTAGGCATTCCGATTCCCAGCCGTTGGAGGGTTGTGATATTGATGTTGGAGGAAGCGGGAGAGTTCAGGCACAACTATATTTACCTCTATTTCGGTAGATTTCCAAGTCCGACTAAAGTTTTCGGACACGAGCTGGCAGAATTCTCTTCAAGTCAACAGCGAAGCATCGTTTCCTAAACTTGCGCTTTGAAGTCGTCTTAGTAGAGGCCTCTTGATATGACCAGTGTACATGGGAGATAACAATTCATGTTGCCGATCATACCAAGAGTTTCAAGTTTGCAGGTGCATAATAACCTACCGATGAAACACTCTCTCATTTCGACGATTTTTGTATATCAAGACCGGCCGGTGACATGAACTCACTATCAGCCGAACGTCTCCGACAGCCAAGGAACGACCGCAAGGACTCGCCGGAGTACTCGCAACTTCTCTACTGCTCGACTTCTCGTTTCGTTGCATCCCCTTTGAAAAGGTCATATTTTCCTATGATCATCGATTCATTGTTAATAAATCCGCAAGATCGATAACTTCGCAACTTGATTGTATTCTTTGCTCGACGGACTCGGATCACTTTCGACGGCGGAATGTCATGGAAATTCTGGGCCGCGGAGCGCACAGGCGCACCCGCCCTCAGATATCGGACTTTCATGCATATTTCCTGAAGGTGCATAATCATCTTCCCGTACCGGTGCGGACTGGTATGGATATCATATTCCGCAATTACAGGTGATTGATCTCTCTTGATACATGTGGCTAGGGTGACTATTAATCCCTGTACATCAGGCACCCTAGGACGCGCGTGTAATCTCAACCTACGCGCGAGAGATCTCAACGTTCTCAACAATCACTCGATCCGTTCTACATACGGGCACGACAACATCTGATGTGAGGAACATTCGGAGTTTAAAATATAGGGCAGTCATGAGCAAGGACTTCGCTTGAGAATGTGAAGGTTGATCAAAGGTTGACATCCTCTCCATCACCGTGAGGAAGGAGCCTGATTTTTAGATTTTAATTAGTACCCTTGCGGTTGTGATTCGAACTTCCAGTGAAGTCGCGAGCGCGGACAACGCGGCAGATATATTAGATGATGGACCTACATTTCGTGAGTCGCGCCTTGTTGTCACATTCTAGAGGCTATGCCTATGGTGCTCACCTTATCACCTCCTTTGCACACATCACAGTTGCATGTAAATCGTGAGGTGAGATGTTTGAAGCGGAGCTACGACCTCCATGTCCCCCATCTATATGAACTTGGGGTAAACACATCAACGGGTTCTACTAAGACTCACCTGATACCAACCACCAACTTACTCAGTCGAACTTTGAACTCACCGCTATCTGTCGAGATGAACTTCAAATCCCTCGCCCTACTCCTCACTGCTACCGCAATCCCTCAGGTCGTAGTCGCAGGTCCGCTTGCCTACGCTATTTGTCAGACAGGTGAGGTCCAACCACATCATTAATGTGCACCGCTGACTCGACTTCTTGACAGGATGCAATGGCCTGGCTGTCGCTTGCTACGCCGGTGCCGGGTTCACATTTGGGGTCGCACTCCCTGCAGCACCTCCTGTGCTGCTTGCATGCAATGCGGCCCTTGGGGGGTGTATGGCGGCTTGTGCCGTGGTTGCGCTTACACCCACTCCCTGAGTGGGTGCAATCGTGAATGCGGCGACGAGAACCCACAGGCCCCTTCCTGTGTGATGAGAACGGCATCCTTGTTGTAGTATGACAACACGATGCAGGTTTAGCGGTGTACAGCACCAGTAATATAACTATGGTCCCTTATGTCCCTTGTTCCCGTTTGTCTTTCCTTTCCTTACAGCCGGTTGCATGCATTTTCGGAGAGTCTATGTTTCTATTTCGCGCTAGCTACGGACTCCCTGTGTCTAGACTATGATTCTTTTTCTTTTCGTGGCAATGGTGAGTATGTTGTAATTTTGCAGGACATTTTGATAATTCTGAGCCTCAGGGCTGTTCGCCGTGGACTCGACTCATGCATGAACTGATAAAGAGCGACTCGTTGAACTACAACAACAAGTAGCTTTGCGTATACCGGTGCGGACTGGCACAGATATCATGTCATCTCCTTTCTATAATAATTACAGGTAAATGATGTTTCTCGATCTATGACGATACTCGTCACTGTGGAAAGGAAAGCCCATGAATTTAAGTAGGAGAAAACGTTGAAAATCAATAGAGAGAGCCACTGAAATTAATGAGGTAGCGCAATGAATCGACGGCCATTGAATCCCCCGAAAAGACGATGGACATCAGTGGTTGAATCACTGATTGTTGTCGACATGGCCACTGAATTCAATGCGGCAAATCACTGACTTTCGATGGTGCGGCCACTGATTATTGACGACATAACCATTGAATTTGATAGGTTATTTGTATTTAGCAAAAGAATATGGCACCAAGTTATGGGTGCCCACAGGTATACTCCATGTGCATGTACCATTTAACCCAGGATAATTTGCCATTGGCAGGGATTGAACCCAAGACCTCCGACAATGATAGCTGCATCACTGTTACCGCTGGGCCACAGGACCGTTTCCATATATCAACAATAATACAAATATATCCAACGGTCACATGACAAAAAAATGCCAACATGTCTACCTTATCCGAGGAAGAGCGACAATTCCACTAAGTCCGTTTCACTAATGAAATTCATATCTCACACCACTGAGATTCATTGGCTAATCTTTCACATTTTGTTGTTTTCTCCGCATCATTTCATAGGTCGCGCCCACTTTTTTTGGTGGTCCATTGAAATTCATGTGTCATGCCATTAAAATTCATTGGCCTAACCGCTAGATTTTATTGTTTTATCTATCATATTTCATAGTCACATATCATTGTTTACACCACTGAGTGCTCACACTGGCAATGAAATCTATGGTATTAGCCGAAACAATGAATACTCTTGCTGGTGGATTCAGTGTTACACACATTGAGGCTCATTGGTTCAGTGCTCGAACCACTGAAATTCATTGTTTCTACTTCCCACAGTGTCGTGGCTATATACGGATGGCTGTCAATATCTGTAATAAGACAGCCTAGGACGCCCATGTAACTTCCAGCACGTTCTAGGATGGGGCGATAGACGGATCCTTCCTTTTGGTGGCATGTGGGAAATAAGAATTTCAAAAAATTGATAGTGGGACAATCGTATAAGCTACACAGCGAGAACTCCGCATTAGAATCTGGAACCGAGAAGGCCTGATGGAAGCTTCGTTGACAACTTCGAGGAAGGAAAGATTTCAATTAGCACCCTTGGGAGTTGTCGACTAGGCGCGAGCGTGGAGCGCCTAGTAGATCGAGGGTCAAAGTCAGAGATCAATGGTGCTTACCTTATCACCTTCGCACTGAACAATTTGGACCTTCAAAACGGATTTCGGTAAGAAACTGGACAGCTCGAAGACTCCTTGCGCGCAGCGTTATACTCAACGTGCCGCAGCTTAGCAATGTCATTCAAAGTCAGAAATGAAGCAACGCTGTGTGGCAGTATTGCAAATTAGGTATGATGGACCTGTCGCTTGTGCATGTGACCCCGCTAACGCCAAGCGGGGTCCACTGTGTTTAGTCCCACGCCGCATGTTACATGCGAGGCGACTTGGAAGTTGGAACGGAGCTACGATATCTTATCACAAACCCATATAACAGTTGAGTAAACACACTCAAAACGTCCACCAGGCTCTTCTGTTACTAACCACCAAGCCACTACTATTCACCACTCTCTGGGGAAAAAATGAACTTGAAATCCCTTACCTTACTCCTCACTGCCGCTGCAGTCTCTCAGGTCGTAGTCGCGGGTCCGCTTGCTTGTGCCATTTGTCAGACAGGTAAGGTCCAATCACATCATTGACGTGCACCGCTGGCTCAACTTCTTGAACAGGATGCAATAGCTTGGTTGTCGCTTGCTATGCCGGCGCCGGGTTCACGCTCGTAGTCGTACCCCCTTTAGCACCTCCTGCGGTGATAGCATGCAGTGCGGCCTTTGGGAGTTGTACGTTGGCTTGTGCTGCGGTTATGTTTGCACCCACTTTCTGAGTGAGTGCAATCATGAATGTGGCGACGAGAATCCACAGGCCTTTTCTTGCGCAATGAGGACGGCGTCCTTGTTCTAACGTGATAGCACGATGCAGGTTCAATGGTGACAGCACCAAAAATTCGACCATGGACTCTTATGTATCTTGTTCTCATTGGTCTCACAGCTGGTTGCGCGCAATTTCGGAGAGTCTTTGTCCCGTCGTTTCCGTTTCGCGCTAGCTACAGACTCACTGTGTCTAGACTCTACGATTCTTTTTCTTCCACGGCATCAGTGTCTTGTGGTTCGTATTCAGAGAATTACAAATGAACATGCGTTTGTCTGGCAAAGGCTTTGGATAGCTCATGATAAGCGGTTTTAACGAATGTAACATTCACTTTGTCTAGTTTCAACGCCGCATGTTACACGCGAGGCGATATTTTGGAACGGAGCTACGATGTCTTGCCACCCACCCATATAACAATCGAGTAAACGTACTCGGTAAGTCCACCAGTTACAATTACCATCTCATTTGGTTAAGTCACTACTATGGACCACTCTCACTTGGAAAGTGCCCTCGCTGCCGCAGTGGAATCCAATCTCCCACTCCTTGCTGCCGCTGCAGGTGTAATAATTTCCGTTGTAGTTGTAGGTGGGCTTGTCTATGTTATCTATAAGACAGGTAAGGTCTACTATCACATCATGAATGTGCACCACTGACTCGACTTCTTGAACAGGATGCTCTTTCTACGCCAGATGCAGGGCATCCAGTTTCAAACTCGGGCCCATCCTCATGTTAGACCCTGACATAGAACTTTACCTTGCATGTCATAAAACGGTATCCTTGTTGTAGCATGACAGCACGACGCATGTCTGGGGGTGTACAACACTGGAAATACAACCTTATGTATCTTGTTCTCCGAGTCGTTTGTCTTTCCTCTTCTCACAGTAGTCGAGAGTCTATGTACTGCTGTTCCTGTTTCGCGCTAGCTACGGATTCACTGTATAAAACTTCAAAGCGAACTTCAATGATTGTGCGATACACAACAACGACCCCAGTGCACGATACAACATATTAAAACGTGCAACACAGCCCACGATAGTCGTGTTCTAGAACTTGATGGCAGTAGGGCACAAGATATTGTACAGCAAGATTCACGTCACCGATAAAATTATCCTGAGATAGAGGATTGATATGATGAGGGACAGATGGACTATTAGGGTCGCGGATACCGCACAAAAATCATATTGGATAGTTGGGGCTCTATGAAGTCAAGCGGCATGGCGATATGAAGAAGAACACGGAATCAACTCAGCGCTAGTGATGGATGGGTCTGTTCAGGCTCTCCAAACAAGCAGAATCGTGGGCCGAACCAGCAGTTCAGTCTGATAATGGTCCTGCTCCCATCCGACAAGGGCCTGAACCAGGAACTGGACAAAAAAAGACAAAGAAATTGATTGACGCAACTAGACGTAGGCGACCTTCCAGTTGAGAACATAGTAGACAGGAGGGTAGACTCGACGATGGCGCAGTCAAGCTTTTGAGATATCACGCCATATGTTACGCGGGAGACGATATTTTAAGTATAATACTACTGGTAGTGTGTACTATTGAATACGGTATGATGGACCTACATTTCGTGAGTCACATCACCATGAGTATCACCTCGTTTGTGACCCCGCTAACACAAAGCGGGGTTAACGTTCACTTTGCTTAGTTTCACGCCGCATGTTACATGCGAGGCGACTTATCATATCTTGGAAGTTGGAACGGAGCTACGATATCTTATCGCCAACCCATATAACAGTTAAGTAAATACACTCGAAAGTCCACTCAGGTTACTAACTGCCAAGCCACTACGTACATACTATTGACCACTCTCTTGAGCAAAAAAATGAACTTCAAGTCTCTTGCCTTACTCCTCACTGCCGCTGCAGTCCCTCAGGTCGCAGTCGCGGGTCCACTTGCCTACGGCATTTGTCAGACAGGTAAGGTCCAATCACATCATTAACGTGCACCACTGACTCAACTTTTTGACAGGATGCAATGGCCTAGCTGTCGCTTGCTATGCCGGCGCTGGGTTCACGTTTGGAGTTGCACTCCCTTTAGCACCTCCTGTGCTGATTGCATGCAATGTGGCCCTTGGGAGTTGTATGGTGGCTTGTGCTACGGTTGTGTTTGCACCCACTCTCTGAGTAAGTGCAATCATGGATGTGGCGACGAGAATCCACAGGCCGTAATGAGAACGGCGTCCTTGTTCTAGCGTGATAGCACGATGCAGGTTCAGTGGTGCACAGCACCAGAAATATAACCATGGACTTTTACGTACCTTGTTCTCCGAGTCATTTGTCTATCTTCTTCTCGGTCGTTGCATGCAGTCGAAAGTCTATGTCCTGTTGTTGCTCTTTCACGCTAGCTACAAATTCACTGTATGATAAATGTTAATGATTATGCGATACACAACACCAGCCCTAGTGCACGACACGACATATCAAAATGAGCAACACAGCCCACAAGTGCCGTGTTAGGGCACGAGAGATAAGATGGCCACATTCGCGTCACCAATAAGATAATCCTGAGATGAGGGACAGATGCGGAAGGTTGGGGCTCTACGAAGTCAGGCAGCATGGTGACATGATCAAAAATACTTGGAAAACGGAATCAACTCGGCGGTGGTGATGTATGGGTCTGGGCAGGTTCTCCTGATAAGCAGAACCGTGAACCGAACAAGCAGTTCAGTCTAATAATGGACCTGCACCCATTCAACAAAGGCCTGAACGAGGAACCGAGCAAAAAAAGACAAAGAAATCGATCGACGCAACTAGACACAGGCGACCTTCCAGAACATAGTAGATAGCTAGAGGGTAGACTCAACGATGGCAGTCACAGCTTTTGAAAGTGGAATGGATAATTTCTGTGGTGAGTGAAGCTTTGAAGGGTGATAAACTTCTGAGCTAGTACTCGTTAGAAATGAATCAATTCATCGCACTGTAGACGACGTACGTAGGAGCTCTCATGGTATCGAGTGTGTGGCTATTATCTTATCGATCACTTGATCCGTTCCACGATGGGCACAACAATGTGAAGAGTGTTCAGAGTTTGATAGTCGTGAGTAAGAACTCCGAGACACGGGAAGGTTGATCCCAGTGAGGAAGGAAGACTTTAATTAGGTACTTCCTGTGGAGTTCTGGACTTCGCGAGCGCGGAGCGCCGACATCATTATCATCGCGGCTCACGTTTTTTAAAGTCAGAAATAAAATTGGTCAATATTTGGTGCTTACCTTATCACCACCGGTAGGAAAACTGAACAGCTCCACGACTGCTTGCACGGAGCGCCGTTACACACTACAATCGACATACAGCAGCTTGACAGTGCCATTGAAAGTTAGAAATGAAATACTAGTAGTGAACCTTATTTTGTGAGTCACATGCACCACCATGTGTATCACCTTGCTTGGCGACCCCCACAAACGCAAAATAGGTTCACTTTGCTTAGCCGCGTGTTTATTACACGGGAGGCGACATAGTTATATTTTGGAACGGAGCTACAATCTCTTGTCATCCACCCATATAACAGTTGAGTAAACACACTCGTAAAGTCCACCAGCTCTTCTGTTGCCAACCCGCATCTCATTCAGTCAAGCCACTACTATTGACCACTCCCTGCGCTTACAATGAACTTGAAATCTCTTGCCTTACTCCTCACTGCCGCTGCAGCCCCTCAGGTCGTAGTTGCGGGTCCGCTTGCCTACGCCATTTGTCAGACAGGTAAGGTCCAATCACATCATTGACGTGCACCGCTGACTCAACTTCTTGAAACAGGATGCAATGGCCTAGCTGTCGCTTGCTATGCCGGCGCCGGGTTCACGTTCGGAGTCGCAGTCCCTTTAGCACCTCCTGCGTTGATAGCATGCAATGTGGGCCTTGGGGGGTGTATGGCGGCTTGTGCCGCGGTTGCGCTTGCACCCACTCTCTGAGTGAGTGCAATCGCGAATCTGGCGGCGAGAACCCATAGGCCCCCTCTTGCGTGACGAGAACAGCATCCTTGCTGTAGCATGCTAATGCGACGCAGGTTTAGCGGTGTACAGCACCAGATATATAACCATGGACTCTTACGTATCTTGTCCTCGTTTCAAGTCGTCTTTTCTTTTCTCACAGTCGGTTGCACGCAATTGAGAGCCTATGTCCCGTCGTTTCCATTTCGCGCTAGCTACGGACTCACTGTGGCTAGACTATTTTTTTCTTCTCATGGTTACTGGTTCCTTTTTGATTCGTGTTCAAACTTTGGCAGAAAATTGCAGATGTCATGCGGTTGTTTGGCAATGGCTTTGGATCTAGACAAACGCTCATAATCGACGGCTTTCTTCATTTCCAATGGCATCAATTCTCACATCAAGCGGCAGTTCCAACAGGCCACTAGTAACCCGTGGCTCATCGAACCACGCGCTGAGCAATTCACAATTGTTTGACCTTCGAAATGGATTTCGGTGGGAAACTGGGCTGCTCGAAGGAGTGCCGTCACATCGACATGCTGTGGATTAGCAATGTCATTCAAAGTCAGAAATGAAGCAACGCTGTGCACCAGTCACATCACCATGTGTATCATCTCGCTTCCCCGCTAACGTGAAGCGGGGTCATCTTGCTTAGTTTCACGCCCCATGGGAGGCGACATAATTATATTTTCGAACGGAGCTACGTTCTCATGTCACTCACCCATATGATACTTCTACCAGGCTCTTCTGTCACCAACCATCTCATTCAGTCGCTGCTATTGACCACTCTGGGCAAAAATGAACTTGCCCTACTCTTCACTGCCGCTGCAGTCCCTCGAGCTGTAGTCGCGAGTCCACTCGCCTATGGCACTTGCTAGACAGGTAACTTAGTTCCAATCAAATAATTGCGCACCACCGACTCGACTGCTTGAACAGGATGCAATGGCGTAGCTGTTGCTTGCTACGCCGGTGCAGGGTTCACATTCGGAGTCGCACTCCCTGCGGTGCCCCCTGGCTGCATGTAATTTGGCGCTGGGTGGATGTGTGGCGGCTTGTGCCGCGGTCGCGCTTACACCCACTCTCTGAGTGGGTCCTATCGCGAATGCGCTCACAGGCCCTCTCTTCTTGCGATGAGAACGGCTTCTTTTTTGGTACTACTTTTCAAATCTCGGGCATCGGTGTTGTGTCAGTCATATGCTTTGGTTCGTACCTAGCTTGTGACTGCATTTCATCGATTTCATCAACCGTCTGTATTATTAGTATACAATCATCACGCTTTCCCCCTTTGTACTCGTCGTAGTTATTGTTTTTTGTTTTTTGTCACAAGTGTGCTGCTTGGCAGGGTTTATTCACAGCATTTCATTTTGTTTGTTCCTGGTAATAATTCTTTATGCACGATGTTATATTCAGTAAGACTGATATTATCCGCCTTGAGTCTTAGTGAATCGAAACTATTCGGTAATCATGATACACGAGGTACCCCGCCGTCGAGACATGCTAATAACGCTATTATAATCCAATATGACGACATAGTAGTAGCAGTAAAACAAAAATTGTCCTAGAACAAAAACAAGTCAAAATCACCGCCTCGATCTGATATGGAGATTCATCCCACAGTAAAAGTCGAAGATTCGCCCGTGAACGCCGATATACTACCCAAGAGCGATTTTGAATCGCCGTAGTATGTTATTCGGTACGTCCCCGCTGGCGTTCCATCCTCAATGGTCCTGTGCAAGTGATCAACAGATCTGCAGTAGCGCCCACTAGTTTGGAGAATGCTCACCATCGTATATCGACCGTACTCGTGCCAAGTACCTAAAATGACGTCAGTCGATGAATATGCATGTCTTGTATTTGAAAACGAACGTACCTTGCTCGTCCGATTCCATTGGTACGTTGTCGAAGGATGTGAGTCTGTCCTCACTACCACCCACTCATTGTTCGTCTGTCTGTCGACTGTGAGGAATGTCCCCTCTAGTCTTAGATTATTCTGGTGGTATTTATAGTCGGGTTAGAACGAAAATAGAAGGAAGGAAGGGATTTGCGATGACCTACCCTTGGGTTAGCCCCGACGAATTGCGCACCTACAGTGTCTCCCGCGTGATACGGGCTGCTCTCGACATCAATAAGGACATCTCCAAAGTGCTTGAAGATGGGAGGATTGTCAACGACCACCGAGGTCTGAGTCACGGGTTACTAATTAAACGATACATCATGCCGTGTGCGATCGTAGACTCACCTGTAACGAGATCGCCTTACTCGTCTGCTCCGGAGGAGCTGCATTCGACGACGGCATCCCAGTAGCACTATCCCCGAGATACGGAACGAGCTCGCTGTACTGGTGGATATACGCGTCGAGCGTAGCTGGCAACACAACCAACCCGTCAGAATACAATGTCCTACCAGAACCTCGAAAACCAGACTCACCAGGTCCAAATATCGTACTAGCACCTTCGTATCTCTGCACGCCATACTCCTCGCGCGTCGTGATGTAGTGTCCATAAGTGTTTGCAGGACCCGCGATCACCACATACGCCCTATCGTCCAGGACACCCTCCGCAATTAGCTTCGCCCTCAGTGCGTTCCTACACATCTATCAATGACCGAAACTCAGAAACCCAGGCCCAGAGTGTACCTACCTCATTCTCCTCCCCGCCATAGTGGTCAGCTCCCCTGGCATCACAAGAATCACGAATTGCCCCACCCTCAGCATCTGCACATCCACCGTCCCGGGCGACCAGTCGTACGGCTGATGATTATATCCCGAATTCAGTAATATGGGCTTGGGGTAGTGACAGGCGATCTGTTCTTCTGACGGGGACGGGGTGATGAATCTTTTGACGACTTCCCAGAAGGGGTTTTGAGATTGAGAGGAGTTGTCTCCTTGGATGAAGTCGAATGCGCCGGGACCATCACTGGAGGACGCATTATGGGATGGGAAGTGGTCAAGCGACATGGGCTTACGTGGTTCCGCCCGCGAAAGAGTAACCTAAGGAGAGCGAGTTCAGGAGGGATTGATAGCGGAGGAAGAAAAACACTCACCAAGAGCAGCGGGGCATGTTCTCGCAAGCGTCCCATTTGGCAATGTAAACGAATAATTCGTCCTTCAACCGTATCATCTCACGATTCAACGAAAGATGCATGGAAAACAGCTTACATATCAAGGTACATGTGCACGCTCTTCACACTCCCGCTCACAGCAGTCATATTGCTGCCTTCCATCACAGTTCGTGTTGCTTCAAATTGTGCCTGCCCGATTATCCTATTGGACTCAAAATCCGATATGTTGAAGCCGGGACCCCTTAAAATGCGAAGAGAAGTTATCAGTGTAGGTCTGGTAACGACAAAAGAAATGATGTAATGAACAGCGAATGAACAGCGCAGTGCATTGCAACGATAACGGTAAGAGATCGGAGTAATGATGGAAGAGCAGAAAGTACGTTGTCTCTTACTGTAACTGGGTAAGAAAGATACATCGTACTCGCTGGTTCGACCACGACAGTTGGGATGTTTATTGACATCGAACGTGAGGAAGGAAAATAACGAACAAGCAAGTGAAGAGAAAGGATAGAAGACAAACTCACCGTCCGTGACAGTCTTCGGTTCGATTACCACATGTCGAATGCTCAAACTCGCAAGGTTGGCCATCCCATGGTTTTCCGGGTGATTCGCAGTAGGCGCCCAGGCTATTAGAAGCGAGTACGGGCGAAGATATTATGTGTTTTGTAGAGGATATGCATGATGAAGACCGGGACGTGGGTTATGAGTATTGTTGAAGGAGAACGTTGTATATATAGCGCATTGTTGAGGTGGGAAATATGATGCAAATGAAGTCAATACATCAAACATTATCACTACAACAAAAGGCTCACGTATTCGGGGTGGTGTCACCCACATTGGCTTCAAGTGCGTTGTTTCAACATGAAGGAAGGAAGAGGGGATTGTGACTCACATTGTACAAACCCTGCAACAAAGGAGTTGTTGCCAGGCATTGAGGAAGGCTCGATGTATGCTACTGAAGTATTAGGTTTGCCAAATGTGAGTTGAGGGAAACTCACATTCGTACATCCACGCTGCCATGCCTTTGTTATCACCACTCACCAGGGTATTGTTCTACATACCGCCTTGAGATTTTTAAAACCAAGCACCTAGAGACACTCACACACCTCATATAAACTTGTCCCATGCACCGGAAAAAAGCTCAGCAACCCCGTCGCATCTCCATCCGCATTCTCAAAGCCCAAAACCGTGACCGTCGTGTCCTGATTTCCTTCATATATCGCTCTTTCCCACTCCGGATTCGCCAAATACGCACTTGGACTCCGATTCCGATTCGCATTGAGCAATGTCGTATTTCCGACCTTCAGATTACCCGGAACAAGTGAGTTGTGCGCGTCTGCGATGGCTTTGAGGGTGCCGGAGACTATGGCGGCTGCGGTCGCGTTCACGTATCCGAGGGAAGTGACTTGTGGGAGGAGGTTCTCGAGATAACCACCGACGCCGCTGTGGGCATGAGTTCCGACGAGGGCAGTGTTAGCGGCCGTGTAGAGGTCCCCGTAGGATGATTGAAGAGAGGAAAGAATGGTTCGTCGGATTCCGGTGTCGCCCATACAGATATCTATTTGTCATGGCAGTGTTGAATTAGATTATATGAATTGGATATAAATGACGTACCAGAGTTAATGAAAAGAACACGTTCAGACGGGTTTGAGGCGTCGGCAACTATAAATGCGCGGCTGCGTTGGCGCATGTGGAGGCCAGTGTCAGTTTGTGGTAAGTATGCATAACCCTGATGCACTACTTAGACGGTAAATGTGATTAGGAATGAAGTGTGACGTACCATCATGTTTGTCTCGACGACTGGGCTGTAGGAGGCATCATGAGAGGTAGCCGAAAAATAGCAAGAAGGCGACAAACATACCCAGTAACATCTCCGATGCCTGTAGCGCATATTCTCAGTATCGCACTGGCTCTCTAGTAGGACTGTGCTCACCAAGCCCGATCAGATATTCCCCACTGCTATTACTACCCTGGGCCTCGATAGACTGGGGACTAGTGGTAAAGAACGCAGCTAGATAGATGACGAATAAACGCATGGCGTCGTGAATCCAGTTGAATGGAAAGGCCGAGTCTGCGAGTGCTGTGGAGAATGATGGGAGATACATCTTTGCTTTGACTCATGCGAGATGTTTATGACTGAATTTTGCACCTAGTCGAACGGGGTGGTGAACATTTGCTTAGTTGATACGACGAAGGCGATTGACATACTGTACTTGATACCAGAACGGAACTTGGGATGTTTAGTAGATGAAAAGGATTTAGAGGGATGATTGGGAACGGAGAGGATGACGTTGGGGACGATGGAAACGTGTGGGAGTGACCGTGGAAGACTCGTTCATTGACGCGTATTGACGCATTGACCCCTGTCTTGTGCCCTAGACTACTAGCTAGTACCCGTTCAGATGGCTCTGCCACATTTTCACGTAAGTCTCTCCTGTTCCGTTGATGTATTTGGACTGCTCAGCCTTTCGAGGACTAACTATTATGTACTCAGTAACCAAGAACGTTCTTATTGCAGCGAGATACATGAAACTCGTTAACCCTCAACCGAACAACACACGATTCGCTGCATCAACAAGCTCATCATTCTCTACCCCTCCTGATACGAATGGCTCGAAACCCAACGCCCGACGTCCTTGGCTGGTGGTAATATCCTGCGCCGTAGCTCGTCCCGTGAAAGTAGATTCGCCGGAGCCTCCAGGAAAGTCCCTGCCAGCATCGAGCAGTCAGCATTGTAGAATCACTCAAGATGAAATACATACGGAGCAGGAAGACCGCGCACAAAATTAGCTCGCTGGTCACGAATGTATGATGCGCTGAGCAAGGCAAATTTCAAGTTGAGCTTAGACTACCAGCCACGAGAGAATCACTTTTTCACAGAAAGTGGGACTGCAGGAATATAGAAAACCGATGAATCCCTTTGACCACCATGCAGTTTCTCAACGGAATGTACGGTATCACAGTGCCCTGTCCACACGAACATAGTCAAGGAAGTCAAGAGAATATAAGAGACCACATACAGTAAACCTGATCACCAGGTTGAATCTCTGGGATGCTCGTCATGGTCTCGCCGAGTCTCAAATGCGGATGCGTTTCTTCATTAAGCTCCTGCCCCTTGCCTGGTATACTTCCTGGAAATGAACTGCTTTCCAAGTCTAGCACCCACTCGCCACCAGCAGCGCCAGGACGGAAGAAAGGACGAAGCATGATGTACGCCGTCGCTAGGGAGAGCATTGGAAGTACGCGAAGTGTACCTTCGCCGACGCCAGTCGTGGAGAGTGAGGTCCAGCCTTGCCAACAACGAAGGACAGAACATTGACCCCTTCGAATTTGGTGAGCGTATACTTATATAAAGGAAAAGATGGAACACATACGGTGCATTGTATAGATCCTGCTTTGCATCCACGCGCCAGGACACATCGAATGGGTTGTGTGACCTCCAACCCGCTCCCCCAGCTAAGATTTGGCTGAAGACCCTACGAAATGTAGGATCCTCCCAGCGCTCGACACTTCCCCCATCGATATGAGGGCCAACTGTGAATGAGCTGTCGCCAGGAGTACGGATACGCAAGCGGTCGAAGTAACTGATAGGAGTACTAAAGCCGACGTGCTTGTTTGATGGGTCATGCCAAAACTGGAGGAGCTCTTGTTGAGTACGAAGAATGGCTGGATGAGTGCGCGCTGCGATTTGAGCTTTACTGTTATAGAGCTCGTACACCTGAATATCGTTCGCTGGGAAGCCTGCGACGCGATGTCATGTCACGGAAAAAGAGTGAGGGAATGTGCGGACCTTTGACGGGATTTGCAGTGATATACTCCTTTATTGACGCTTTCCATCGTAGTGCTTCCTATATATATCATGAGTCAAAAAACCTGACTGGTATCACAATACAAACCTCCTTTGGAACTGCACCCGTCACTACAACAACACCAGATTTCCTGATACGATCCTTCTGAGTGTTGGACAAGCCGCGTTCAATGTCGGTAAACGACACACGAGGGATCACCTATTTTCCTGTCGGTCATGTAAAGAGGTACTTGAAGAGGTGCGTATACTTCTCCCCCCAAACTAACAATCTCCTTCGTTCGTCCTTCCAAAGCAGCTAGAACCTGCTTCCAGGCCTCCACAATGCTCGCATGTGTCGCGCCCATATCGGTGAGCACATCCTTCTTCAACTGAGCGAAACGAGCTGGAAGTGCAGCGACCTTGGTACCAGGATCTAGTGACGTGAACACGTCCGCGATCGTGCCTTCCTGTTTAGCTGCGCGTTTCGTTTGTGCAGCTGTTGTCATCATTGTCCGGGGACACGTCTGAGAAAGTAACCGAGTGCTGAGGGCATATCGTGCGTGGATAATGGTGGAAACTATCATGTTGACGGCAAGGATGCTGGATGCAATGACTGGCACCGTGCAGTTGATTGTGAAGACGCATACTTGTAGATTCTAGGAGCGTTCAAGCTCCGATTTTCGAATTACGGGACCCGAAGGTTCGGCGGCCTCTCCGAGGTGGTTAATTGATTACTCATGGGGGCTATATATACGTTCGAACAAATCCTCGTGCAAATATCATAACATCCCATGGTAGCAACGTTACATTAATGGGTCCTGAGCTTGAGTTTGTAGACGAGTCGAATGCAAATCAAATCAACATAGCATCAGATATATGTAGGCTGACCTCATCATGTAAGAATTGGGTATGTAATTGACTCACCTCGATCTTGCAGTTATATCTACAGCTGTGTGCGACCGCACCGAATTCGATGCATCAGAAGCTATATTTTAACTTGCCTCCGTGCAGTGAGTTCAGGCAACAATTTCTGTGGCATAGCAGAGTATTTGATATCATCGACGAGTGTTCGGACCAAGTCGTTCAGAGGCCGGTATTCTGTAACCTGTTATCCAAGCGATGAGATTGGGTACGTCTAGGATCGCTCATCCTTGAGAAACGCGTTGTTGGCAGAACTCGGGAGTTTTCCCGACCGGTCTGGCAAAACTACTTATGCTTGGTCCACGGCAAAACTCACAAAGGGAGGGTGGCAGAACCAGGCAGAACTCCAGGGCGCAAGACTCGCGGAAATGCACCGGGAATAACACGGTTTGAATTCAAATGAACATGAGAACCGACATCCTTGAATATGGTGCATGCCGTAGGATGGAGACAATTTTGAGCACCTGGAACGAGTTGAGAACAGTTCGAATGAATACTATCATGAGTATGGAATTTTACTCACTTGCTCTTTTTCTCCACTCGATGTGTCGTACACTTGCTGTTATGCAGGTGATAAATCCAGCGTCCGGAGATGCAAGCACATGAGAGCGCTTGGCTGTACCTGACACTGATGATGTATAAAAGCCATCCTACGCGGCCCAGAAAACACCATCAACATTCGACTATGAAATTTATTTCACTCCCCTCTATTAATATATCTGCCGCAGCCATGGTTGGCCTAGCTATCGCGTCTGAGTCGGATATAACACCCATGGGTCTTAAATGCTCCCCTCCTGGTGAGCACTTTTGAGGCCTACCACGCGCAGACTGCGTACTGACGGTTATCCACAGAATCAGTGCAGTGCTCAACAGACCTGAAAGGTTATAATAACGAGAACGATTACGGGTTTTTGTGTGGAATGAATTCTTCAATTATACTATACCAGCCGTGTGCCTGCAAAGATTGCTGTAAGGTGGTTTATGATGGCCCAACACGGCGGACCTTCCAGTGTGGAAACTGAGTGAGCCACCTTATCTTTCCCTGCTGCCTTTGGAGTCCGAGTGTTAATATTGCTCACTTAGCGTGTTGTACTATGCAAGAGGGCATGTGCATGAAGGAGCGCTGTCACGGTGACGTAGCAATGTGGACACTATTGGTATGGCATGCATTGAAGTTCAAGTTGCAGTTCCAAATTACGTATTATGTAATATGAAATTATTTTCTCTCAGAGTCCAAGTCGGCCCAGAGCCTTTCCTCGCAGACAACTGGTATGATCTTCATTGGTTTCCAATGGTCAAATTTCACTGAAGGGTCAAGCTTATGGCCGCAACGAAATATGTGAGAGATATTTATCTCTTTGTTCTCGCAATCTAGGCAGCGAAATCGGATGCGAGGGCACTGGTCGGATGCAACGAGACTCATCATGATGGAGCTAATTCACACATTAATTGATGTGTATCCAGACCGATCGAGGAGAGCCATTCAAACCCCATCGTCGTAAGGAATACCAATCGTTCTGGGTAGCAAATAGGACCCACCGCGGGGTATCTTTCCGTGGGTTCAGCCTAAGACTCTTAGCTGCGGATGGCAAAGATATAGCCGTCGTGACTGGTGACTTTCGATACGGTCTGTTTTGCGAGTTCAACTTGAATGCCAACTAGGACGACAGTGGCCGCAATAGCCAGCGCATCTTCCAGCGCATCTTCGTCTTCATCTTCTAGCAATCTGCGGGATTCCACAATCGTGAATCGGTTTGTATTCGATTTTCACAGGCGATAAATCATCATCATTGATTGAAGTTCACCCAGCCCTACCTACCCCATGGTTCGAAGAAAATTATACCACAGGGCATGAGTTGGCATCTGCTGGTATCATGATTCATGATTGGCAGAACTCGAGAGTTTTGCCAGCCGGTCTGGCGAAACTGGTTCCGCCTGTTCCACGGCGACACTCACACAAAACCTGGCAGAACTAGTATCCGAGACTCGTGAAGATTTAATTTAGATCTGATGACAACTGGCAGAATTGACTCCAAATAGTCCTGCCCCCTATGATAGTATCCGGCGATGTAAGCACATGAAAGCGTTTGGCCGTACCTGACACTGGTCAGGTATAAAAGCCAATCTACGTGGCCCAGAGAACACCATCAACATTCGACTATGAAATTCACCTCATTCACTACTATTGCCTTATCTGCCGCAGCGATGGTCGGCACAGTTATCGCATCTGATTTAGATTCAACACCCATGGGTCATAAATGCTCCCCCAATGGTGAGTACTTTTGCGGCCTACTACCTGCAGACCGCGTACTTACGGTTATCCACAGATTCTGTGCAGTGCTCAACAACAGGCATGAATGGTTATAACAACGGGAATGATTACGGTTTTTTCTGCGGACCGGATTTCAAAATCATACAAGTCACGCCGTGTTCCTGCTCAAACTGCTGTAAGGTGGTTGCTAATGGGGCTGATTTCCAGTGTGGAAACTGAGTGAGCTTGTCTTTCCTTACTGCCTTTCGAGTTCGAGCGTTAATGTTGCTCGCTGAACAGGTTGTGCACAAGAGGGCGTGAAGGAGTGCTGTGACGTAGCTTGAGTGTCAATGTGAATATGGAATGCGTTAAAATTCTGTAGCCAATGATTAATCATTATGTCAGTTCATACGCCTCACTCGTGCTTGGGGAGCAACCCCCTCGCAACTGGTTATCGAAATGTCCTGGAAGTGTACCCACTGACCTGCGAAGAAACTATGCTAGGCTGTCCCACTCGAGTCGCATTCTTGGCGTACTGTAACCTTTAAAACATTCTCGCTGTAGAGCGAGTCTCGTGCGTGGTTAATGGGTCTAGCGTGAAATTTTTACAACCTTCTTCAATTGTTTGCTTTGTCCATCGGTCTATCGCATGCGATCGTTCATCGTGCACCTGCTGTTGTTGGTTTCCTTTCACTTTAGGATCTGGAACCGAGATCACGCTGCGGCTAATGGCTCATCAATCATGCAGTCTCCCATTGAGCTCGAGAAGTCTATAATAAAAGTACAGTAAGACAGAAAACCGACGGCAAGCGGCGGGCATATATCCAAGATAGTCATATCAAAGCCTTTATCGTCATCTGCCTGACATCCAGTACCCCTCATCCGTCGGTTAACCCACAGGCCCAAGCTTTATCCCAAGAGCAAAAATACCGTGAAAAGTAGGTCTTATCACGCGTAACCTCGAAGGAAAGACCATCCGATTGTATCCTCTTATTTCCAGGATCCGTCACAGGAAACCACGGTGGCCCCCACGGGAAGGAGTCAGGATCCTGCTTGTAAAGGGCAGCAGACACCGTGAATCGCTCCACATGTAAGTCCATTCCCCTCGTGGCATATGCGTCATATGAAATTGACTTTAAATCGCGGAGGGGAGGCAGATGCGGGTAGACCACTGAAAAGGTTTCAAGGCTCTCCATAGAATTCCACGTATTGTCCCTCATCCAAAGATACACCGGCATTTTTGGCGGGCTTGAACCACAGCTGATGCCGCGAAAAATGTGTGAGTGCCAAGCCAAATCGATTAGGTGAGTGAGATGTGGGATTGATACAAGGAAAAGAAATCTTTCGCCAGTGTTGTGAAACAACTCCACCTGCTGGTCTTGACGTATTATTGTTAGATTTTTGGTTTTCCCAGGAAAAGAAGAGTGTCCGCCGAGATTGAGATCTGTGCGAGGCCATGTATCTTCCACGCTCCAAATGATATGTTTTAAATGGCGATAGTCAACCGCAAGTTCTGGCGCAGCAAGGATCACTGGAAGCGACACGCTTATGTTGCGCGCTCGCTCCTCATCTTGTTTTGAGAGAAAATTTCCGGTCGCCCAAAAAAAGGGATCGTCCCGGGCCTCTGCATAGACGAAACAGTCAAATGCGTCACTAATCCACATCCTCTGTACAGCGGAGGTATAGTCAAAGAAAAGATCGCTCTTTTCTTCAGCGTACGCTTTCTGCATAAGCAAAGCATTTGCGAACTTCTTTAAGCTGTGACGTCGGCGAAGCAAGATCGTGTGCAGGAAATCGGGGAGGATGATGCGTCTGACAAGTCGAGAGACGAGACATAAGGAGAGGGCGGTCGAGTAAGGATTTTTAATGTCATATTTCTCCCTTTGAGAAAACGTCGGCTGGGCTGCGTTTTTGCAGATGGTCAAGATAGTCTCGATGGGAAGCTTAGGCACCATGATGGAAGGGTTAGATACGTACCTCGTTAGATATGGCCCTGCCTTTTATACCCTCAGCATCAATTGTGGCGTCAGATCCGCAGCAAGAGATGTACATTCAAGTTGTGTGTGGGACCGCACGTTGTGACAACGAGGATAAAAAAAAGTTGTGACCGAGGGTCCATAACATAGTTATTGTTTCTTCTAGGTCACACGACGTACTCTTGTCCTGCGGAAATTCCTATTTGTAATCCCCAAAGAGCAATGATGCGAATGTGGCACGAACCATAGAATATACCTTCCGACCCGAGTCGATGACACACATATGGACTCATTCAAGTTCCGTCACGGCACAACTCTTATAGTGCATGGCTGGCCACTGGGTTAAGTCGGTCTCGGGCCAATGTCACTGCAAGGATGCTCTGTAAAGTAGCATTGCCTTGTTTCCTTATAGCACCCTGCGGCCGTCTGTGCGAGTTACCTTTGTTACCGAGCAAATGCAAGCACTGACAGATGCACTCAAAACGTTGATGAAACGTAAACTTTGATGGGTGAGCATCCGGGTCAGTGTATGAACTGCGCCTCTATCTTGAGGTTGGACTAATAATATTATAATATGGATGCTTACTAGTTGAGTTTGAGTAGAGGATTCGATGACTTGGTGAAAAGTACCGGCCGAAGTATTGACAGCCCGAGTCACCCATCATATGATGCTACAGGATTTCGATTGTGATCTGAGTACTTGAAATGATCGTCACTAACGTAGGAAACAACATGAGAGAGAGGTAAATGCAAAAACAAAATGACTACACCGCGAGAGTATCATGGTAATTGATACAACGACTTGTTGCTGGACAGCGCTAGCGTACCATAAAGCTCATGCGTTGTAAAAACGAAGTCAATCTTGAAGCTTGATTGTGTGCAATCGCGATCTCCTCGCAGATTCAGGTCACTTGGATTAGTGTACACGAGATGATGATTCCGAGTCGAAACGGCTGTAGCATATGCAAACAGCAACTGGATCCTGCATGTAGCTAGACATCGCTTCACGATTGAAGCTTTGAAAATGTCGAGACATATAATGCAGATCATGACGCGTTCGGTTTCTCAGTCTGGTCAGACTCCTGTCTAACAGAACTAGTAACTCCGACCCCCTCCTTCTAAGATTCGGGGGACAGGGCTCGGCACCTCCCGTATCGATATGATCCAGCTGCCGAGGTCAACCGACGCGTTGACACGGATCTCGCACCTCATCTGTATCGCGTCTGATTAGTAGGCACTTGACCGCATCTTAGAATCTCTATGAGACTTCCAGCTGGTCTTACATAAGAATCTCATGCGTGAATAATGGATGATGGAATCATGTTGAGGGCAGGGATGGTACTAGATGCACCGCTGATTGATACCCAGGAACGTTCATCAAGACCTCGCGCAAATATAGCATGCTGGTATCGTGTTGCAGCTAACAAAATCAAATTGAAAGAGTACAATCTACAAGATGCTATCAGTAACTTTAGTATGAAGCACGAAATTGAACACACTGTCTTATCAACCAATTATAACCATCTGCCAGAATTGTGCTGTACGCCACATCACCGCTATGTGCTTGAAGCGAACGGCATCATATGTTACACTGGCTCTGGGGTAGGGCTGTACACCGTACCGTATATGGTAGACGGCCGTACACATATGGTAGAGGTATGGTAGACGTTATCACCCGCCCTGTAGGTTCGTTACGACTGTATAAGTGGAAGAGTTGCTGGCCATTGCATGTGTGACAGCATTCACCGGTGTCCGAGTGTGCAAGCTGAGGGAGGCGTATTTCCCAGCGTGTGCTTGAGCATGTTGGTACAACTTCGTGACGAGTTTCAGCAGCCAGACATTGTGGCCTGATTCGCGTAATCCTGGCTAAGGGACTCCGTATTCCTGATTACGAGCCCGTTCGAATCAGACAGTCCAAAAAGGTGAATTAGCGAGAATAATCACTGCCTCGACTTTCTCCTGTGGAAGCCATTCTACACCATCTAGATTGAACCGCGCTTGGCGGGCTAAGTCATAGCCCTTGTGCGCGTCCCTTTCTTCCTCATCTGTAAACAGGATATTTATGTGTCCACCTTCTATGAGGTCGATGTCGCTCGCCCAGCCTTTCTCCTCTATGATTTTAACGAGCAAAGACGCAGTGTGTTGTTCGAGTTCATAGGACTTGATTGCTTCGACAGTATCGAATAAGGCCTGAAGTTGAGCAAACTTGAGGAAAGTGGCTGGCGTAAGATGTCCATCATTCCTTCCTACAAACAATATCATCCACACGATGAAGTAAGGAAACAAGTAATGCTCGACGCACCGGTCGCTCCTGAGCCTGAAATGCGTCAGTTGCACGAAAGACACCATGATCAGCATGAGACCGACTGACAGAAATCTCTTGCTTCGAGCGACGAGTATCACGATCCTGAGCGGGTGTTCGAGGGAAAGCGAGGCGTTATTCAAGAGTTCAACAAGGTGGTTCAGTGGGCTCCAATCTGTAAGGTGGCTACTTGAGTTCGAAGGGGAATGTGAGCAAAGGTGGGTTTTGCGGCGAGGTGAATGCTAAATGATAAGACGAATGATGAGATGTTCAAAATGGACACATTCTAGGAGGCTTCTCTGAGGTTCTTCGCGCGGGAACTAGGTATATTTCGCTGTATGTATCAGGGTACATGAGCCGTATATAAACACGAAACAGTAAGGGTCCTGGGGTATGGCTTGACCGAACGATTAGGTGAAATGGAGACAAAGAGTAAGTGGCGTTGAACCTGACAGGTTGGACTAGTGCGAGCGAAAGAGAAAGTACGAGAGACCGAATGAGTGGCGGTATGAAAGAGTTCGGTTTGGATAGAATGACGAGAATTTTGTAGCGGTTTTGACAGATTTCAGTATGGCGAAGTGAGAATGGAGGAACTGTGAAGAAAGGAAAGGGTCTGAGGGTCAAATATAGCAAGGGTTTGGTCTACGTAGCAAGTAAAACGGTTATGCAAGTCGAAACGACGATGAAAGAGTGAAAAGAAGAGGAATGTATCTGCGTGACTTGGATGCGAAGATCAATGAGTCACGTGGACGGTTGCGAACGCTGGTTGAAGAACGTTGAAGCTGAAGTCGCGGTCTGGGTGTAGATGCGATCCTTACACATTCTTGGCGTACTGCAACCTTTGAAAAATTCTCACTGTAAAGCGAGTCTCGCCGTGCGTGGTTCATGGGTCCAGCGTAAAATATTCACAACCTTCTTCAATTGTTTGCTTTGTTCGCCGACGGTCTATCGCAATGCGCATGCGATCGTTCATCGTGCACCTGCTGTTATTGGTTTCCTTTCACTCTCTAGGATCTGGAACCGAGATCACGCTGCGGCTAATGGCTCATCAATTATACAGTCTCCATCCTATCCATTGAGCTTGAGAAGTTTATAATGAAAGTATAGTAAAACAGAAAACCGATGGCAAGCAGGCACATATCCAAGATATTCATATCAAAGCCTTTATCATCATCTGCCCAACATCCAGTACCACTCATCCGTTGGTTAACCCACAGGCCCAAGCTTTATCCCAAGAGTAAAAATACTGTGAAAAGTGGGTCTTATCACGCGTAACCTCGAAGGAAAGACCATCCGATTGTATCCTCTTATTTCCAGGATCCGTCACAGGAAACCACGCTGGCCCCCACGAGAAGGAGCCAGGATCCTGGTTGAAAAGGGTAGCAGACACTGTGAGTCGTTCCACATGCAAGTCTATTCCCCTTGTGGCATATGCGTCATATGAAATTGACTTGAAATCGTGGAGGGGAGGCAGATGCGGGTAGACCACTGAAAATGTTTCAAGGCTCTTTATAGCATTCCACGCATTGTCGTTTATCCAAGGAGACACCATGTGTGGCGAGTTTACACCACAGCTGATGCCGCGAAAAATGTCTGAGTGCTCAGCCAAATCGATTAGGTAAGTGAGATGCGGGATTGATGCAAGGAAAAGTGGTCTGGACCCGAAGTAGTACGAGTGCTCGACTTTACATAGTATTGTTAGATTTTTGGTTTTCCCAGGAAAAGAAAGGTGTCCGCCGACATTGAGATCTGTGCGAGAAGACCATGCATCTTGCACGATGTCCGTGATATGCTCTAAATGGGGAGCGTCAACCGCAAGTTCTGCCGCAGCAAGGATCACTGGAAGCAACACGCTTATGTTGCGCGCGCGCTCCTCATCTTTGTTTTGGACCCAATATCTGGTTTGCCAAAAAAAGGGAGAGTCTTGGTCCTCCGACCGGGCCTCTGCATAGACGACATAGTCAAATACGTCACTAATCCACATCCTCTGTACAGCGGAGGTATAGTCAAAGAAAAGATCGCTCTTTTCTTCAGCGTACGCTTTCTGCATAAGCAAAGCATTTGCGAACTTCTTTGCGCTGTGACGTCGGCGGAGCAAGATCGTGTGCAGGAAATCGGGGAGGATGATGCGTCTGACAAGTCGAGAGACGAGACATAAGGAGAGGGCGGTCGAGTAAGGATTTTTAATGTCATATTTCTCCCTTTGAGAAAACGTCGGCTGGGCTGCGTTTTTGCAGATGGTCAAGATAATCTCGATGGGAAGCTGAAGCTCCATGATGGAAGGGTTAGATACGTACCTCGTTGGAAATGGTCCTGCCTTTAATACCCTCGGCATCAATTGTGGCGTCAGATCCGCAGCAAGAGATGTACATTCAAGTTGTGTGTGGGACCGCACGTTGTGACAACGAGGATCAAAACAAGTTGTGACCGAGGGTCCATAACACAGTTATTGTTTCTTCTAGGTCACACGACGTACTCTTGTCCTGCGGAAATTCCTATTTGTAATCCCCAAAGAGCAATGATGCGAATGTGGCACGAACCATAGAATATACCTTCCGACCCGAGTCGATGACACACATAAAACCTATCTTCAAGTCGATTTAGCATTACCTTATTTCCCGAACTGACCTATAATATAACACCTTGCGGCCGTCTGTGCGAGTTACATTTGTCACCGAGCAAATGCAAGCACTGACAAATGCACTCAAAACGTTGATGAAACGTAAACTTTGATGGGTGAGCATCCGGGTCAGTGTATGAACTTCGCCTCTATCTTGAGGTTGGACTAATAATATGGATGCTTACTAGTTGAGTTTGAGTAGAGGATTCGATGACTTGGTGAAAAGTACCGGCCGAAGTATTGACAGCCCGAGTCACCCATCATATTATGCTACAGTATTTCGATTGTGATCTGAGTACTTGAAATGATCGTCACTAAAGTAGGGAACAACATGAGAGAGAGGCAAATGCAAAAACAAAATGACTACACCGCGAGAGTATCATGGTAATTGATCCAACGACTTGTTGTTGGACAGTGCTAGCGTACTATAAAGTTCATGCGTTGTAAAAACGAAGTCAATCTTGAAGCTTGATTGTGTGCAATCGCGATCTCGTACTCGTAGACCCAGGTTACTTGGATTAGTGTACACAAGATAATGATTCAGAATCGAAACGGCTGTAGCATACGCAAACAGCAACTGGACCCTAAGCATATAGTTAGACATCGCTTGACAATTGAAGCCTTGAAAATGTTGAGACGTAAGTATATTCAAAAGAATGGATCATGACACGTTCGGAGTTGGGCAGTTTCTCAGTCTGGTCAGACTCCTGTCTAACAGAACTAGTAACTCCGACCTCCTTCTCCTACCAGGGCTCGGCACTTCCCGTATCGATATGAACCAGCTGCCGAGCGGTCAACTGACGCGTTGACACGGATCTCGCACCGCATCTGTATCGCGCGGCGTCTGATTAGTAGGCACTCGACCGCATCTTAGAATCTCCGTGAGACTTCCAGCTGGTCTCAAGAATCTCGTGCGTGAATAATAGATGATAGGATCATGTTGACGGCAGGGATGGTAGATGCACCGCTGATTGTTAAGTTGCATACCCAGGAACATTCATCAAAACCTCGCGCAAATAGAGCATGCCGGTATCGTGTTGCAGCTAACAAATTCAAATTGTAAGAGCACAATCTAGAAGATACTATCAGTAACTTTAGTATGAAGTACAAAATTGAACGCACTGTCTTATCAACCAATTATAACCATCTGCCAGAATTGTGCTGTACGCCACAGCACCGCTATGTGCTTGAAGCGAACGCAAGAACCGGCATCATGTTACACTGGCTCTGGGGTAACTACCCACAACGTTCTCGTAAACTACCCCATCGAAAAGCCACCGTGATCTAGAGTTGGCATGAGCTGATCAGATGGGACACGGGCCATTGCCTTCCCTGTAGATATAATAGGCAGAGTCCTAAACAGTATTGGAAAGGTCGATAAGATGTTCGTCTTCCCGGCGGTGTTTAGACCGCCGCAGGCCTAGCAAATTTCAGAACACTAAAAGGAGACGGTTGACTTCAGCTGCAGGGCACAAATGATACGGCCTACCTCAACGGTTGGACGGAGCTCGTTTGCTGTTGACAACCACTACTGGTCGAAGTATGTGATGAACTTACCGAGGACAAAAAACTCGGGGTAAGTAGTAAGCGTGGGACTAAGACTGTGCTCTGTGTGCTCTTTCTCTCATCATCAATATTCTTTGACCGTAAGCCTGTGTGAGGTACGTTGTTGAGCTGTGCAGGCGAGTGCTTTTAGAATATCGTGATCCTGATTCAAGTACTTATTGTAAAGGGTAAGCGGTGATTGTCGATAGGCTGTCGATAAGTTCACCCTCGTTACAAAGGATATCATTCACTAAGCACTTGTCTATTCAGTTCAAGTGTTGTAATCATGATCCTTTGTGCAATCCCTTGTCCTCGTTTCTAACCCCATGACATCTATACGGCAGTTTTCCGATTCAGGCCAGTGCTGCTCTTTCTTATCATCAGAAGTTTCCTGCATTGCAAGTAGGTCCACAGCTTCGTGCCAATGGTTCCTTCCGGCATTCGACTCGGTAGAACTTTCCTTTTTTTGTTTCTTCATCTTATTAGTCCCTAATTCCGACTGTCTTGCTGACGCCGAAAATTTGTATAAAAGGCCCATCGTTGCTAGTGTGTACCTGACACATAACACCCTCCTACGCGGACTCGAATTTTTAAACGTGATCATCGTGCCTTTTGAAACATTATGTTGCCCTCAACTCCTGGCGCTGACCTTACCCCGTCTGAAGACAATGGTGTTGGGCTCTCCGACTCCACTTTGTCACAGCATCGCCGAAAGATGCTGGATCTCATCAACCGTCTCCACACCACAGGGCTAGTTTTCTTTCCCTCTTCGTCATGTTCTTGGACTCATCGAATCAATATCTAGTGTACAGACGGACATGGACCTGCCCATGATCGCAGTCATTGGCTCGCAGAGTGCTGGAAAATCGTCTCTTATTGAGTCTATTTCTGGTATCACTCTCCCTCGCTCAGCTGGAACGTGCACAAGGTCAGTGTGCCCGTTTTGTTTTTGGAAACGCCACGTCTAACCCTATTGAAGGTGCCCAACTGAATGTAAACTTTCACGCTCCGAAGACTCCTGGAAGTGTCTCGTCAAACTTCACATTACTACCGGCCCGTCAGGCCAACCCTGTGATGTGCGCACCATTCCTTTTGGATCACCCATCACCGATAAGGACGACGTAGAAGATCGAATCAGGCGTGCTCAAAGGGCAATCCTCAACCCAAGCACTGAGCCACAGAAGTTTTTATACGAGCTGGAAGATCAGACCGCTGAGCAAGCTGAGTTATCTTTCTCCAAGAATTGCGTCTCTCTCTCGATAAGTGGGAAGGATGTGGCGGATCTTTCATTCGTGGATCTTCCTGGACTCATCGCGAGCGTCGGGAGTGCAGGAAAGACCGGGGATATTGATCTCGTCAAGGGTTTGGTGACGTCTTACATCGAGAAGCCTAGTTGTGTCATCCTTCTGACGGTTACTTGTGAAAGTAAGTGGATTTCGCGTCTCAGTCACTTTTTCTTACATCTCGTATTTTCCCAGCCGACTTTGAGAATCAAGGGGCACATCACTTGACGAAAAAACACGATCCTGAAGGCAAGCGCACTGTTGGTGCGTTTGTGCATTCATGAAGTCTTTGGAAGCGATGATTAAGTTCTGTGTTACAGGCGTGCTCACGAAGCCGGACCGCATTCCTCCTGGTGAGGAGAGCATGTGGCTAAACTTCATCCGAAACGAGAAGGAGCCGCTCGTGAACCACTGGTACTGCGTTAAGCAACCTGGGTCTCAGACGCTCCAAAGTGGGATCTCCTGGGCCGAAGCAAGGAATGAAGAAAATACCTTCTTTGCTTTGACACAGCCCTGGTCGAGCCTGGAGCCACAGTACCAGAAGTTCTTACGAACGAGCAACCTGACGGAGCGGTTGAGCACGATTCTGTCCGAACTGATCGCGAAAAGGTCGGAGTTCTTATCTTGGCGCCTTGCGATGCTAATATACATGTAATAGGCTTCCCGAGATCCACAAGGAATTATATAATATCCTGCGTAAGACTCAAGATGAGATGAGAAAGCTTCCGAAGGCGCCGTCTACCGATCCCGTGGGTGAGGTTTGGGGTATAATCGGTCAATTTTCGAAGCAGCTGTTTCAACGACTCGAGGGGACGCCTGATCAAGACGGTATATTGCAGACAATTCGACCACACCAGCAGGAATTCAAACGAGCTGTACGAGAAACGGCTCCCCGGTTTATTCCATGGGCAAAAGGCGAGATCCGTGAACTGCCGGCAATCGATTTTCTAGCGAATGAGGAGGATGAACCACAGAAGTCCCGAGAAGGAGTCCATCCTATGCTCACTCCGAGGTCGCCCACGCCACAGTCGGGGATTTACATCGAGGATGTTCTTAGTCACGCCCAGAGGTCCTTGAGATTCATTCTTGTGCTGTAACTAAAACTGACTAGATCCCAGGGCTCGTACTCGCGAACTTCCCGACAATTATCCCTTCATTGTACAGGAGACGTACATCAAGGAGTTTACTGAAAAATGGGAGACGCCATCGCAAATACTTTTCGACGAAGTATATGACATCCTGAAGAACGACCTGAGCGTTCTAGTTCATGAACATTTTGGGAAAATGGGAAGGGGCGGCGCACTTCACAGCGTGCTGTATGTGCATCCTGCACTATTCGATACCTCTATGCTGACACCCTTGTTCCTGCAGCATGATAGTGAATGAACATCTTGACAAAGCCGCAAAGCAAGCCAGGGAAAAGATAAATTGGCTCTTGGAACTCGAGAAGGCACCGACAACTTTGAACGTGCACTATTACTCTGACTACAAGATCAAATTCCTCGGATATTACAAGGGTTGCCGAGATCGCGAAGAGTTGACCACAAAGTTGCAGAATTACCGTGCGCCAACGACGATGCACACAAGTCCAAACCATGGACAAGCATTCCACCAAGGCATCCAAAAGGCTCTCACTGGACTGACAGAAATTGGTCTTTCCGTGCAAGCCAGTGATCTTCCCAAGCTTCTGCCTGTGGATCCCATGGAGCCTGCCCTTCTAATCATGGCGGGAGTAAGGGCGTACTTCCAGGGTATGTGTTTTCCCGGAGACGTGGATTTAAAACTGAAAGAGCCTTTTGTAGTTGCGTACAAGCGCTTTGCTGATATGGTTCCGTTGGCCATTGACTATGAGATAGTCCGCGGTCTGCATAAGGACATGGAGCAAGCTCTTCTTGATGGATTGAGCTTGACGGGTCCCGATGCGTACGTGCGGTGTCAGTTAATGGTCCAGGAGCATAGCAGTGTCGCCTCGAAGCGTACGGAGCTGCAGAAGAAATTGGACAGACTTAACGCCGCCAGTTTAGAATTACGCAAACTCTTTGTATAGGATTCCACATGTCGGCATGTAAATATTTAGCGTATCGATATCTAGATCTGAATGTAACAAACGTACGACGCGGTGGTCTGTGCGTGGGAAATGTGCCAACCAAAGGAAGTGTGTGACTTTTCAGCATGAGAGTGAGTGACGGTGACCCGAAATCGAATCTGTAGTCCGGCTGTCTACCATACGCTAATCAAGGCCTAGGTCCCACTTCGCACAGGATATCCAGATAATGGCACCCTCACCGTCAACAGCGTCGGTACCCCTTTCAACGTCATCCACAACATCCACAATGGCCTTATCAACCTCGCCTGCTACGACTGCGAGCTACTCAACCGGTGATCATATCTACAAGGGTAAACATACAAACAGATCATGGCAACAGCTCCCCCCAGAGCTCATCAGGTACTTCTACGCCACTGCATGGCATTTTCAGCTATTTCTAATTAAACACGCTTGCATGACAGACATATTGCGTCTTTGTACCTTAAGGATGTCGCTACGCACTTATACTGTCCAGTCACTTGGGAGGTTAGAGAGGTTTGGCCCTCCAGAATGGTCTACGCGGCTTTATGTCAGGCTATAGAACTCGAGAAGTTAATGAATGTCACCCCTTCTTGGTGTACTGCTCGTGTGTTACCTACTTTATCTTATCATCGTAACGCGCTAATTCATTGTGCTAGTCAAATCCCATCTATTTTGGAATCATGCATGCGCACTCCTGGATCCTCACGACATACTCCACCAATATGCAATCGTACGCCCTCAGGCCCCCGCAGATGGGGCTGCAGGGGCTGCAACTATCGCGCCACAGCCTTACCGTTTACCTCCTCACACCCATTTTCGCACTATGACCTACCATTCCTGCATCATCTGTCGCATCAATTCACCTTGTTCGTCCGTTGGCCTCGGAGCCGCAAAACGAACACATGTTATCCCAAGGTTGGGCGTGATATCCGTGTGTCGCGAGCATCGCAAAACCGCATTTTGCGGTGTATGCCTCCGTGAGGCTCCCGCTGCCGAGTGTGATCCCCAGTTTGATGTCCAGAGCAACATGCGTCTCAGCGGTTACAGTCAACTGTACAGCCATGGAAATTTTAATCTGGCCTTGGGCGGCTATAACCCGTATGCAACCACCCTCAATCCTGCCTTGATGGTATTATGTTCTGAAAACGAAGATGATGAAACCTGGCCTGGCGTTGATGCAACGTGTCGGTCATGTCGTTTAGAAGGGCTCTGGAACCGTATCAAATCGAGTGCTCGCGACCGCGAGGCGATTGGTGGTCCACGTTTCGTTCAATCCTCGTCTTCATCACGCTCTTCACCCGCAAGCCCGCGACAACTCGCATTAGCACGTGTTCCACCCTGGAAGTATGCATCAGCAGATTGGGAAACGCGTCAAACAGTCGATGCTTTCATCGAACTGGGCGAAGGCTCAATCACAGAGGTCCTGAACGTTGCCCGCGAGAAGCTGTGGCTGCGGTCATACACGAAAATGCCGGAGTTGATGGAGCAAGCTGTCGCTGCTACCCGCTGGGCCAGCGAAGGCATGGGGACTGACTTTTCGCAAAATTCTTACCATCATCGTGAACCAGAGAGTGTGGCGGCGCCACGGCAAGAACATACACGTACTACAGAAGGAGGGGACTCGTACAGCCCCGTCAACAGTTTATCTCCTTCCCGTCGTTCGCGCTCGCCGTCTCCGCGGTCAGCGTACTCCTCAGACTATGAGGGCTCGGAGGATGAAGATGATCCTGATTTGCTTTCTATGACTGAAGATGCTGGTGGTGTGCGTGATCTGGCTATTGCTGACTGGGCGCGGACACGAATTCTTGATGGACACTGGTGTAGTCCTGCCGACCAGTGGTATGGTTACGCTCGACCAATTGGTGGAGGTGTCAGAGATCCTGGCGAGGAACCTGACTATGAGTCGGAAACTGACGACGATGAACCTCTTGAGAATGGACAGTCTCGCCGCCGCATCAGAGTTCCCGCTACACATCCTTGTCCGTGGACGCTCTCGAGGCCATCGTCCCCGTCATCTCTTCCCTCACCCACGGACGACTCGCATCCACGTCTTTCGACCGTTCGTTCTCAGGCACCACCGTCGTTCGGACTTTGTGAGCAGGCTTTCCGTGCCTTTTCAAAACAGTTGCGCCAGATCCTCTTGCCTGGGATGAACAATATCGTCCGGCGGCTCGTCATTGAGTCTGCGAATGGGATAGGAGGTGCTTGGGTAGACCCTGCTGTGCGCGCATCGAAGATGAACCTTGAAGATGTGCTTGCTGAACTGCGCACGCCCGGAGTATGGTTTGATGGCGTTGATTGGGCGGCTGGCGGCTTGGACATTGGCGGTAAGCGCGAGGACGATGCCTTGAGTAGCACCAGTGCGTCGACGAGAAGCGATGGATCACACACGACGAGCCCTGTTCTTTCTACGACAACGCTACATACCACACCATCGCCTCCACCATCACATCCTGAGGAGAAGGAGCATGAGCCTGCAACGACAACAGCAATAACGAGGCCGAAACCGCCACAAGTCATCATCCCCATTCCTGTGTCACCGGTGTTAGACTCACCCAAGCTTTTACATCCTATCCCTTATGTACCGGTTACGCTGGCCCATATGGCGCAGTACAGTCTCGAAGCATTCAAACAGGTGAGTTCCATTCTGTAACACGATGCTACCTCGTCCGAACCAACTACATTAGGTATGGCGCGAAGCATGTGCACCACTGTATCACTGCCGATGTTCCGTCTGCGAACGTGCTATGATCAAGGCAAATGTTGCCGCTGGTAACCCTGTCACTCCTCAGGTGCGGTCTGCGCCCCAAAATGAATCCCAAACCCGAGTACCACAGCCTCAACCACAGCCACCGCCAGAATATGAGAACCTAAGTGAAATAGTTCTAGAAGAGGTACGTGTTCCCAGAAGCAAGTTGGTGAAGGAGGAAGAGGAAGAAGAGCTAGAAGAGGAAGAGATGTATGAGGACGAGGAAGAAGAGAGTGAAGAGGAGCAGTATGAACTCGCGAACCCATGTTCCGAGACACATACCATCACACCCCGGAAACGCTCTTCTGGAGACCTCGAGGCAGAGAACGCTGCTGCTGGTGATCCAATCGAGGTCCCTCGTACCTCGACTCCGCCGAAACGTCCTCGGAGAGACTCAGATCGTCCTGTTGACGACCGAGCGCGGCGCGGAGAGTCTGTGGCGCCGATCCCTACACCTCGCCAACGAAAGCGCTCCTCAGAAGAGCTGGATGTTGGCAACGACTCTCTGTCCCGGGGTGATTCCCTACAAAAGCGACTGCGCGTTGAAGAGTCCTCGCCGGGCTCCCACTCAGCGCCTCGCGCACTCAGCGTCTCACCTCCTGAGGTGGATCGTGCAGATGGGTATAGCAGGAAGGGCTTTGTTGACGCTGGGGACGGGGATTTTAGCTGTCTGCGAACAGGCCTAGTGAATGGTGGCGAGCTGGATGGGTTGTACGTGTTCGAAGAACCGTAGGTTAATTTAAAAGTGGAATTGTGTTCAGCATTAGCATGCTTTCAACTCTTGTATTTTGCATTCTGTACAACTATACCATATCTCCTTGGTTTTTTCTACGGTGATGACGACGACTACGTCTGTTTAGCTAAATTGGGGTGGACTTGGTGACAAACAACTGAAAAAAAAACGACCTTCGTGCCCGCTGGCTGGATTGAACAACCGACCTCATCATTACGAGTGACGCGCTCTACCACTGAGCTAAGCGGGCAACGAAGAAAATAGACCGTCAATCCCACAAAATACCCATGAAGCCTGAGACCTCATACTCAATCAATTCCTTCATCAACACCATCATTCTGCACCAACCATGGCAGAGACGAGCCCAAAAATCAAGATTGTGCGTGCACGAGCTATAACTCGGGGCCTCCCACGATAACCCTGAAACTCTCCCAGATGGCGGGTGCCGCGCCAGACCTATCTGCGGCTACATTCCAAATTTTCGACGAGTCGCATACGATTGGAAATGCTCTGCGGTGGATGATCATGAAAAAGTACGTTGTGTTTTTTTGTTTGATGAACGTTGAGTTGATGATGGTGTTGGAAGCCCGAAGGTGGAGTTCTGTGGATACAGGTGAGTAAATGGTGTCGGCTTGTTGTCTGCAGTCTGCGATTTTATTTTATTCTCCGGATGTTACTTAGTCCAGCTGGTCAATGCCCTCCGTATCTGGTCATCGCGAAGAGACACAGATGCGGTAGCATGGCATCACTTTCTTCATGTATGATAATGTGTTTCGATTTGCTGATCCGTTGACGCTTACAGCGTGCCCCATCCTTCCGAAAACCTCATTCAACTGCGAATACAGATGTATGGTATGCAAAATTCAGTTATCCGCAATTTCCCCCTGAGGTGCCTGATCCGACTTTTTTTTTCAGATGGGCTTTCGTCCTTGAATGCGCTCCTTGAAGCACTGACGAATCTTGATGCCGTATGTGAGACCGTCGAACACAAGTATCACGCAAGTCTTGCTACGAATGACTATGAGCGGTGGGAGGAGAGGAGCTAGGCAGTGCTGGTGTGTGCAACAATTGACTTGCCACTTTCACGACGGGCGCACTGTCGTTTATTCGTTGTGCACGCGATCATGTCACGGTGGACCACTCACTTCTGGAGTTTGGTGCAATATCAGATGCATTTTCGGATGTCTAACAGAATGAGTATCCTGCATGTAACGATTTGTCTTGCGAACTTGTTTATCAAGTGAGTATCATTGATCAGCTGGGATGTTGACCTTGGCGATACTTTCTGTGAGTAGGTTCCACAGGTAATGATGGCAGTGTCGAGTTCATGTGGGCTATTTAAAGCTGACTGCAGGGTTGAACTCAGTACACAACCGAACAATGGTGCATGACCAAGTAACGTTAACCCTATGATTTAATTAGCATGCTTTGTAAATCCAAATGACGGTGGTTTTTTGTATACGTATTCAGTGCTTCCCTTATCGCCAGTCGATGCATTGTTGATAATGACTCTGATCCTGGCAGACAAGCTTTCTGCCTCTGCAGAGCCTGAGATTGATCATCTACCTCCCGCTTATGACACCGTGGCATTGTCAACCCGTGGCAGAGACGTTCCATCGATACCCGCCATCGTCACTGCTCTCACTCACCATGATAAGGCAGCTCCCATTACTAGTACTGTTGTAACGGACGTGCATGAATTCGAGCCTCCTCGGAATCGGCTGTGGGCAAACACGTTGCCCAGGAGCAGGAGCAACATTGACTTTATCACACCAGTTACACAACTTCCAAACGATGCAGCGATTCCACCAGTAGACGTGGACAAACCGCTCGAAGAGCGCTCACAACTTTATTTTCGTAAAACCGTTCCCGCAGAGTTTGCATCCTTCTCCCACCAGACTGGGAAGCGCAAGCTCACCAAGGCGCGTAGAGCAAAATCTGGCTCAAGCTCATGGCTTTCTTTTCTCCCATTTTCATCCTCCAAAACTACGAAACACAACCATGAGTTCATGCTTACGCTTATTCACGACCTCATCGTTCCTCCACCAACCAACTCTGGTAACTTGAGCCCCAAATCCCTGCAATTGGCTCTCGCAGATCCACATGAAATCCTGGCTTCCTACGCCCAAACATGCTCTGCGAAGAACCTGTCGCTGTCTACACTTCTTCAAGAGCCGGATATAGCAGGTCACACTGCCATCTATTGGGCTATCGTCAACTATCGCTCCTCCCTCCTCGATGCTCTGCTCAAATATGCCTCCCCCTTAACCCCTGTGACACTCAGTGAAATGAGGAAGGCATGTTTGGTGGCGAGTAATCAGCCATTATTTCACAACCTCAGACTTAGTGTCGGGTTGTGCGCAAGTGGGCTACGGAGTGGTAAGTCTGAGTTGAGAAGCTAGATTGGGGCTGATGTTTTATTGCCAGCTACTGGTGGACTGCTTCTTGGTCAGCGCCCACCAGATGACGTGCGTGTTGAAGAGGGCCCCGATGGTGCTTTTGCTGCAACACTGGATATTGCGATGTGGCAGAAACGTATACGTGCAGTTGGGAGTGTGAGCGTGGAATTTATTGTTTCTGGTGAGTATCCTGCGCTCCTTCTCCGACACTCATTCCTGCTTTCATTCTTCCTCAATTCTTTCACAAATGAGAAGAACCGGTTAACATTTCTTGCATTTCAGGTCGTATATTTGCACTAACCTTCTTTACCACCGATCGTCCCCGACCCCACTCTAAGTCCACCAAAACCAAAATAGTGGTAGGGCCCTTGCACGTCTCACTCTCCCTCCTTGATCACAGTCTACCGACCTACGTGGATGCAACAGTAGTCATCAATGAACCTCCTCCTCTTCCTTCTCTAGGGCCTTGTCCACGTTCACCAAGAAATTCCTATTCGCCAAGAGAACGCATCCACAGCGCCAATTTCTCAGGCAGAGAGACAATGTATGGCTTTGAGAACGAAGTGGGATTTGGGGGTTGTGAAACGGACTTCAACTATGATGGACAAGCGCAATTACCTTCTCCTTCCTCGCTCTGCCCTCCTGGCTCTTCTCATCCTGCATCGTTCTCAGGTGCACATACACAGAAACAGATGCCACCACCTCGCTTGCTCAAAAAATTGTCCTCGTCGCGTTCCTCGCACACATTAGCATCTGTATTGGATACAAGTAAGGCCGCAGCTCTCACACCCGAGAAGCAGCTCGTGAAGCTGAAGAATGCCTCGTTGGGATCCAGTGGGCGTGCTCCGGTGGTGCTCCATTTTAGTGCAGGAGAGTCTATGCTTGCTTGTCGTACGAGGAATGGAGGTGAGGTTCTTTCCACTGTTTCAGTCGTGAAGTGGAAAGCTTGTTTGTTGAACAAATCTTCATGGATTTTGGCTGTCTATTCATCATACATAGAACAACCTGAGTCCTGACCAGTCTCTCCCAGCAGATTCATACACTATACCTCACGCTACCACCAAACCTGATACCTGGTCCGAACATGGTACATGGTATGTCTCTGCGATCGTAGTGCCACTTGGAGAACAAGATGGAGCCGGATTGATGTTTGAGTGAGTTTTTCCACATACCCTCTCCCGATATGCAACGACGAATCAGGAAATTGAAATAATAGACGCTGACGTCCATTCATAGCACATCTCCGCATATCACGCCTGATGGCAGTTTACGAGCACGACTAGAGGCGAGGTTGGTGAAAACCGAGGAAGGAGGGAAGAAGTGCATTATTTGTTAGTTTGATGTAGGGATTCCGCCAGTAGACGTGGACAAACCGCTTGAAGAGTGCCCATAACTTCATTCTCGTAAAACCGTTCCTGCAGAGTCTGTATCCTTCTCCTACCAGACAAGCTCACCAAGGCGCGTAGAGCGAAATCTGGCCCAAGCTCATGGCTTTCTTTTCTCCCATTTTCATCCAAAACTACGAAACACGACCATGAGTTCATGCTTACGCTTATTCGCAACTTCGTCGTTCCTCCACATCAGTAAATTCACACATTCCTTACCTTCCTTTTTCATCACTTATTTTCTCACATAAGAGCGCACAAGAACGATATCATCTCCTTGTCACAAGCTTCAACAAGTTCAAAAGCAGATCCCTTCCTCTTGTATTTAGCTTTTGTTCGCTTTTTTTGCACTTTTTGTGCACTTATTTGAGAATGTATTGCATTGCAATCATGATAGGTTTAATTTATATCCCCTTTTTCGCTCTTATTTTCAACTTATTTGTGCTTGATCACTCTTGTTACGAGGAAAAAACATCTGCATTTCAACCGACCATAACTGTATTTCAGACGAAGCAAATAATATAACAAAGTAGTATTAATAGTACTAGTGCTATGTACTAGTAGGACTCAGATGCCAGTGAACAAGCACACGAGAGGACGAGACCCTGAGAGGAGGACGAGCCACCGAAAGGAGGACAAGACGCTGAAAGGAGGATAAGACGCGGGAGGAGGACGAGATGCTGAGAGGAGGATGAGCTGCCGAGAGGAGGATGAGCCGCCGAAAGGAGGATGAGACGTGGAGAGGAGGATGAGACGCGGAGAGGAGGATGAGATGCGGAGAGGAGAATGAGACGCTGAGAGGAGGATGAGATGTTGAAAGGAGGATGAGACGCCAAAAGGAGGATGAGACGCTGAGAGCAGTAAGCGAGAGAATGGAAGACGAGAAAAGTAGAAGACTTACTGAGTGTAATTTTGGGGTGAGGCTGTAAGGTTAACTGTGAGCGGGTAGGCTGCACTAGGGCAAACACATTAGTACAATACAATAAAAAATAAAAGACTTACCTGGAGGCATGTGAGATGATGCATGGCATCATGAAGTTGGTGGAAGGTTGAGAACAAAGTCATTGTCCAAGAATGACGCACGTTTGTTGAACCGTGGGAATAAACAAACATACACAAATGTTTGACTTGGATGTTTCGACATCGCCTGTAAGCCATCCTTGTTCGAGCTCAGGCCGATTCAAGTCGTTACCCACCGTCCACAGTATGTGAGTGTGTCGATCCTTGTTCGAGTTCGAGCCACGCTGATCCAAGTCCATATGACCCGTATCTCCTTGGACTTGGATGGTGGTCACTTGTCAGGTAGGATTTCGATTTACTGACCTTGGAGTGCCCAAATAACCATTGACATCAGATCGGTGATATTCTTCAAACCGTTGCATCCACGACCTCACCATCCCAGCAAACAGTCTCATCACTGCTGACCTCACCAGACATTCTGGTCAAACTTGCGTTTTTGTTGTTTCTCTCACTAGCACCCATCCTCGGACGCGAGCGGCTGCGTTCTTTGATTCTCTTCATCCAGGCACCCACAAAGTGCCCTCATCGCCCTCCAAATCCCAACGCCCACACTCCTGATCACTCCCGGGCCTCTCCCTTCAACTCCTGGTCCCCTCGCTTTGTTGCGCCTTCCTCGCGTATAGTAGAGATTAGTGTCTACTATAACGTGTTGTAGGGATTCATTTCTGGCTGGGCTTGCAGAGACTGTTTTTACCTTAGTGTTATGTTTGCACTTTTGTAGCTTACATAATCAAGTTACCTTTTCACCAGTTACCAGTATGAGTCTGAGTCTTCAGCAGTTTCTATCATATTTCCTCTTCTCTGAGCCTTGAGCCTGGTCCAGAAACCTTTTAGGGTCGAATAGCAGCTAGGTTCTGCAAGACCCAACATTGTTCAGACTCACCATCTGAATTGTTGTACCTTCAACTGGAGCCCACCACGAGGGTTTCTTGTGTTTCTAGGCTCTTCCAGCTCTCCAATCATCCCCTGAATTCACCTATTATCCTACCACAGTCATTCCTTATCAGCTTCTCCCATATTCCCAAGTTTTCAGCATCTTGTCCTCCTCCCCAGCGCATTGATAAGCGTTTTTCTCACGCGTTTTTCGAGCGGATCTCTCGCAAACTTAGGGTCGTATTCCCCACGTCCGTCCGGTCATTTTGAGCCCTGGCTCATCGAATTTGGAGCAGTAGTTGTGGAGTTATCGAGTTTTTGGTGTTTTGAGAAGTTGAGGGGAGATAAGGGTTTTCTGGGTGCTCAAAGGCCTGTCTCTTTTAGCTCTTTTGGCCATTTACCATCCTTCAGTGGCTCTGTCCATTGCCCCAATCTGCTTCTTGATAGGACCAGCCCTTGTTGCCCTGCACCATACCCCTTCCTCCTCACTTCAGTCACCCCTGTTAAAGTACCTCTTAGGTACATATATTCTGGCTTACAATCTCACCTAAGAGGCATGATCTTAGGTGGTATTCCCAGGCAATGCAGGTTATATCCCGGGCCAATTCAACACTTTCCCCACGAAGCCTGGGCCTGCTGGGCCAATGTATTTGATCTGTCCCATGACCCATCTGGGTCATCCTAGATACTTTATTATATGAATACACAGGGGGTGTCAGGGGTCATTTCTCATGAAAAATTACCCACACATTTAGACACTTAGAGTATAATGTTTGTCTTCATAAGGTCCTTGACCTACGAATGGAGGAAGTGAAAAGAAATATGTGGTGAGGGGGGGGGGGGGGGCGGCTTGTCTTTGAAGATGTGGAAGAATGTAAGTTGGGTAAGGTTCTTGACCTACAAAATCCAAAGCAGCTGGAGGAGGCGGGAAGAAATTTGTGGTAGGAGGGGGGGTTGTCTTTGAAGATGAGGGAAGAATGTAAGTTGGGTAAGGTTCTTGACCTACAAAATTCAAAGCAGCTGGAGGAGGCAGGAATAAATTTGTGGTAGACAGGGGGGTTGTCTTTGAAGATGAGGGAAGAATGTACGTCAGGTAAGGTGCTATTTGTGGTAGACGGGGGGGTTGTCTTTGAAGATAAGGGAAGAATGTAAGTCGGGTGAGGTCCTTGACCTAGAAATCCTTCTTGACTGTGCCCTCACTCCAGATACTGACATATTTTACACTCCATCTGGTTAATTTGCACAATTGGAACATACCCTGCACCACAATACTCCAGGTTTTATTGGAGTAAGTGTCATCACATATTACTTTGGATGTAAGCATAAAAGTGGAAAGAAAAAGACAGTGACTGGTCAATGCGGGATAGCCCACCGCTGTTTTATATGGTGACTGGGCTGACCCGGCTCTCTCCTATGCATGATGCGGGCTAGCCCACCGCTGGTTTATATGGTGACTGGGCTGACCTGGCTCTCTCATATACATGATGTGGGCTAGCCCACCGCTGGTTTATATGGTGACTGGGCCGACCCGGCACTCTCCTATGCATGATGCGGGCTAGCCCACCACTGGTTTATATGGTGACTGGGCTGGCCCGGCACTCTCCTACGCATGATGCGGGCTAGCCCACCGCTGGTTTATATAGTGACTGGGCTGACCCGGCTCTCTCATATGCATGATGCGGGCTAGCCCAGTCCAAATGTTATTACTTGTTTGTCACTATTTTTCCACATTCTATAAAAGTTCTGTACAGTTTTTCTTCTCTCTTTCTTCTACATTCTATTTTGCAACATCCTCATCCAGTATTAGGCCTTCAATTGTTCTCTCTCCTTTCTTTACTATTTCACTAGGTTGCTCATCTGGGTCAGTACTTACTCCTAAGCCTCTCTACTTTAACTAACTCATTTTTTATTGTAATATTCCCAGTGGTGACTTGCTCTTGCAAATCTGACACTAGTTTAGCAGCACATTCCATGGTTCACCAACGATCTCTCGATTTCCTGACCTATGATTTCATCAATCGCTGGTTATTAGTTGTCCTCATCCTCCTCATCATCATGGCCATTCTCTATGGAAACTACATTCTTTATCTTGAACGCACAACTACCAATACATTAAATGCCCTTGGGCTTCAACCCATCACCACTCCTGTTCCAAAGACCAGATCACCAAGCCCTCCTGTTCTTGTTGCCTAACCTCATACAATATCCAAGTGCAGGACTTTTATGTTAGTACTCCACTATCCCTTCTTACCCAACTGCCTGATAGGTGTGATATGGGTTAGCTTCTTACTTGTTCAATATTCAAGGGACAGTCTATTATACACAGTGGGATAGCCCATCACTAATTTCATATGCACGGGTCAGCCCAATACAAGCCCTTATACACAGCGGGGTAGCCCATCGGTATTCATATGTAGTACGGGTCAGCCCAATACGAGCCCTGGGCTGGCCCACCGCATATTACATAGACACTGGGCTGGCCCACTGCATATATATATATCTTCAACATTCCACTAGGGATAGCCCATCACTCCTTACATACGTATGGGCCAGCCCAATACAAGCCCTGGGATGGCCCACCGCATATTACATAGACACTGGGCTGGCCCACTGCATATATATATAGCTTCAACATACCACCAGGGATAGCCCACTCACCATCAATTGATCCTTGGGATGACCCAGCAACCCAATATATATATAAGTGGGATAGTTCATTATTCTTAATTTATTGAGTGGGATAGCCATGATGGCCTAGATTTACACATATGAAAACTCCTCGATGCTGACATTATCTTTCGAGTGCCCATTGTGCACCACAGTTTGGGACCACAAAACACATAGTCATTCAAGCTATCATACACAAGTACATACACAATAGTTCGAGTGATACACAATAGTTCGAGTGATATGAAACATTAGTCACGGTAAATGAAATCACGATCATATGAATCATACCCAGGAGCCGGAGTGTTCCTGTCATAATCGGATCTCTCACGTGCCCTTGCAACCACTCTCGAAGGGCCTGCAGCCGGAAAATCATGGCAATGATGATGGGCAACATTATGCCCATAGGAATGAAGATGATGCGGAGACACCTGCTGTACCTCATCATCCCAGTGTTGACGCGGTTCGTAGTCAGGTGTAGGTGCACAAAGGCGAGGGCGAGGGCGAGGGCGAGGTCGAGATTGAAGTCGAGGTCGAGGATGAGCAGGGACAAAGTGCGGAGGTGGCAATTCAACATGCAGCGCACCATCACGATGACGTACGACCTGAAAATTAACTTGAATGAGATAATGATAGAAGATATCAGTCTTCAGCTTACCTTCGACTTCTTCGTGATGCGAGAGTCTGATGCATTCAAGCTATCAGCCTCAGATTCAAGTTGTTCATCTGCTGGACACTCGATTAGAAGAGAATCTGCAAGTAATTCATGGACTTGCCATAATCCTCTGCATGTGGTTGCTTGCGAGACTTCTGTTGCTGAAACGCCGATGGGCGGCGTTCTGGACGGGGCAGACCATCATCAGTGTAGTGGTTCTCATGAACAATCAAATATTCACGAGCAGCGGAGGTCTGTTGTTGAGACTGGTGATCCTGAGTAGTATCTCCAAGCTGCCTTCCTCCCGAAGGAACACCGACATTCGAACCACGTACTGATGTTGCTTCCTTGTATTTTTGAAGCAACCCTTGGGGGATGGAGTGCTTGAATTTCTCAGAGTCCGCGAGTTTCCGGAGCACGATATTGGAAGCGCTGGTGACCAAAGGAATATCAAACATTTTAGGGTCGTCTTTTTCACATTGCTCGATGTGATCTGAAGCAACAATGTTAGACATAAAAATGAACAGGGCAATAAGTACCTTTGGGCCAAGGAACAATATCAATCTCAGACATAGCGACGTCCAACTCGTCAATGATATCATCAAGAGTTTTTTCGCTCCGTCCTTGCTTGCGCCAAAGTTCGAGTAAGTTCTCAGCTTCAGTCTTCAGTTTGGCGTCATAATATTGCAAAGCCCTGCGCTTGATGTAAGGGACAACGAGTAACTTCAGATGTTGTGCGCTGAGGGTGTGGTAGTTGAAGTCTGGGCCAACCAGGGGAACTTCGTCAGGCCAGAGTTCAAATTGAAACTTGTTCTGGTATGCAACGTCGAGTAACTTCCGCCACTGGACAGACTTCGTTTTGTAGCCGAATTGTTCTGTTGAATTGAATTAAAATCAAGTCATGGATGGGAATAAGTCGAGCTTACCTAGTTTCTCCAGCACCATGACCGGCCAGATACGTCGGTAATGGTCCTGTGGGGCTTCACCAGGCTTCGAAAACAAAATATCATATGCCCCCCCAAACCGCGGCATTGCGAGCTGGTAGTTTTTTGCCCTGGACACATTGTAAGATTAAACTTAGAGTAGTTCCAAGCCACGTACTTTGCTGCAGTAATAATCCAATCTAACGCAAGTTGGGCGTCCACTTGGCGTTCATTGATGACATCCATGAAGGTGGATGAGCCTGCGACAAAACCCGAGGCCTGTCGGGCCGCCTCATCAGGAGTCGAATCAAAGACACAGCCAATGACCTCAATGCCTTCTAGGCGAGAATAAGCTGCAAACTTTGTGACAGTAAGCCATAATACAAACAAGTACTGTCAAAATACTTACACGCTTAGCGAGTGCGTCCCTTGTAGACATAACAATACTGGCACACGATCGATTGTTACTAGCACCGCCCAAGTGACCATCATAGTGCGCTTGTATGTCATCCCACAGCGGGTCACTGTCTTCAAGGCTGTAGTAGTGGTTGCGCTGTCTCTTTCTCCAATCACTAAGTTCTACCAGAGGATATTGGTCAGTATGGGCACCACAACATGAAATAAATATTCACCTTCATCGGTTTCTCGAGGATATTTTCCTTTGTACCATCCTTGGTGCATATTCCATGGGGTCTCGGCCCTGGAGTGTTTCACAGACAACCCGGCCTCGATGAGTATTGTGCGTGCAGATTTTCCATATTTGTCACCAATTAACTTGGCAGCGTGAAGTGTCTTGCGCCCGAGCTCCTGCGCGTCGTCTATGCCTTCCTGGCACAGCCGCCCAGGTCTAGAAGTGACGGGAAGGTCATTGTCGTCATCATCAGTCTCCATTGCCATGGAGCTTTTTGGCAGAGCACTGGAGACGGGACTCTTCTCGACCGACTTTGTCATCACATGCGCGGCAGCCTGGAGTACCTGGGTGGACGGGGGAGTCCCTGTTACTGTGGATTTTGGGGGGAGAGCTTTTGGAGGTGCGCGCTTCTGGGGCAATTTCGTCTTTGATGGAGGCGCAGGTAAGTTGTTGTTGTTGTTGTTGTTGTCGCCTTCTTCTTTTTCTTCGTCGGCTTCTTGATCTTCTTTGTATTCATCATCATCTTTGTCAGACTCCTCCTCCGAAGAGGAAGGATCACGCTGAGCAAGCATTGCACGGTGTTCAGCCCGTCTCCTCGCTTCTCGATTTTGGTACGGGTAGTTTTTCTCCGAGGAAGGGGCGCCATCCAAGGAAGAATTTTCATCCTCTGGAGTATCAGAGGGGGGTAAGGATTCTGGGAGACGAAACAAGGACTGTTAGTGAAAAATGATTGATAGGAGACGGTGGTACATACCATGAATTTTGGGATCGCCCTTGTGAGCATCCGCTTGTCCTTCACTGTTGTCCTCATTGTCCGTGACAAGGTCATCAGTCTTCGGGTGGTCTTTGTAATAGTCGTGTCAGTGGGTGGTTACTCGATTTGTAGAATGGCCGCCCATACCTTGGGTATCAGACTCAGCGTCAGTGCGCGGCTCTGTGGTAGCAACGGAGGATTTCGCGCGCCGGGCAAGGATGGCGCTGTAGTTGTCGAAGCTCATGAACGAGTTCCCCCTCGGCAAGGGGGTAGGTTTGATTTTTTTGGCGGGTGGTAGTGTCTTAGTCTGAAGCTTTTAAAGACAAATATCAATGTCTTGTGATAAAATAAAATAAAAATAAAAATAAACGTACCATGCGTTGGTTGATAGGCGCACCACTGCGGGTACGCATCACGAAGTCGATGACAGGAGTTTCCATCCGCGGGTTAGCGCACTTTTTGGTGGAAGATGATTTTTTGGGAGGCATGGCAGAGGGAGCTTGACAAATTGACTAAAGAGATCTATGAACACGAATACAACAGAAAGCAGCTTGAAGAACACGAAGTCCTCAAATATCGACAGCAAGGAGCTTGAAGAACACGAAGTCCTTTTCAGCAGCCAAGACACGAAGTCTCGCAAACAGCGAATTCAAGTAAAAGCTGATGTAGGAGTAAGTTAGAACAACAGACAACGTGATGGAGAAATTCGGACCTACCTCGGTTTTCACGCAAATTCTCAAGACGAGAAGGAAAATACTGTAGTGAGAATGACTGAGTGACAGAGAGTTGATGGCGAAAAATTGGAGCATACCCGGTTTTTAAAGGTAGGAACAGGGCGCCTACGGTGTACTATATGCATAAGATCGTCGGCTGGACGACGAACAAACTTCGACAGAAGACTCCAATACTCTAGATATGACACATAGACCGCATTTGGAACGGGCGAGGCCATCCTGAAGTAGCGCGCAGAGTACCCAAAGCAATTACGGAATAGTGAGTTAAGTACAGGAAGATGAAAAGTAAACTATGACTTAGCTACCAGACAGCGTCAACACTAGCACCCAATGACATCTGCTATCGCAAAGGTAGGAGCTTAAGAGACTGATGAGGGTGTCACAGCAAATCGAGATGGTAAGCCGGACATCGAAGGACGGTGGAAGATTGAGTGGTCGTAACAGTACTAACACGAAGTCAGACTGTGTGTAGTGTATCTGAAGTGACACGAAGTCACTTCAGATAGTGTTAGCTACCGCGAAGGCAGCTCACGAGGAGTTGAGGGGTAGATGAGTGCAGGAATAGAGAGGAGGAAGGCGGCGTAGTTGGCTGAGGTTGGCGCAGCCGTGCCATGCAGCCAAACAATTTGACTCTTCTCTTGCTTGTCCAATAATCCGTGGATGAATTGGAGAAGGTCCACTCGGGTTCCTTCCAAACATTTCGGATGAGGCTGGCGTTCAGGAGAGTCGTATTCAGCACCCAGGACAGCGACACGGGACAGCTTTTCCCAAGGTCCGGCAGATGATTGAGAAACTGTTGATGAGGTCAAAGAACGCAAGAAGGGATTATAGAAGGAGGCACTAACACTGATCCCAGCTACTCATCAGCGGATATTGATGTGGATTGGACGGAATGGAAAGAAAAGTACTAGTTGTGTTCAGCATTGCGGTTAGAAATCGTCATGGTGCTCGCTATCTCAGAGGGGACGACGTATGCCGATCAGGTTGAGTGGATAATCAAGTTCAAGCCGCAAAGACGATCCTTGGGTCCGGAAGACGTTGTGAAACGCTTTGAGTCGTAAAGCGATACTAGGAATAGAGAGGAGGAAGGCGGCGTAGTTGGCCGAGATTGGTGAATGTTCCAACAAGTTGACGCAAAGTCAGACTGTGTGTAGTGTATCTGAAGTGACACGAAGTCACTTCAGATAGTGTTAGCTACCGCGAAGGCAGCTCACGAGGAGTTGAGGGGTAGATGAGTGCAGGAATAGAGAGGAGGAAGGCGGCGTAGTTGGCTGAGGTTGGCGAATGTTCCAACAAGTTCTGAGTCACTTCACAATTCTCATTTGTCACAAGCCCATTTGGGTTATCCCAGGGCGTAATCACAACTTTGCGCCTTTACTAACTTTACTCTTTACCCTTTACCTTTTCCTTTGCTCTTTCCAACTCTTCCTTCTCCCATCGCCGGTGTCGATTATTCTGCCTTTGCAGTAGACAACACTATTCCAGTGACTTCGTGTTACTGTGCAATAGCACTCGCTACTCTAACTTCGGTTACAGTACCCTTCATCATGTTCAGATTCCTCTTAGCTTGCACTTACCGTGCCTTTATTGGTTTGTCGCTTGATTACTCACTCTCATCGGATAGTCACCTTTTCGTTATTCGCAGTCCCTCTGACGATGCCTCTGACAATACATCGTGAATTTAAACCATTCTTACGCGACGGTGACAGTAAGTGCCCTTGGTGATTGTCCTGTGATCCTCCTCTAATTTTGATATAGATGCTATCACAGCTACAGACGCACGCTCTCTCGCCTATGACGGTCAACTCGTTTTCACTTCGCCTAATATGACTTTCGTTCCCCAACTATACGACAATCCCTCCGATATTGTGCAAGCGAGGGTGTTACGGTATATTCATTCTCTTCGCTTCTCATTCGATACTGGACAATGGTACATGCATACGGCCCTTAACGAGCGACCAATCACCTTCCAGACCCTCACACATATCATCGCCAAGCTAACATTCCGTACCAGTAACCATCACTATGTTTAGCTCTTATCTCTTATCGAAGCGGGCTGTCCGCACCATGGTTACTATCTCCCTATCGCTTATCTGTTATCACTCACCAAGCGGGCTGTCCGCCTTCTATCTTGATACGTACTTACAAGCTCCGCTTGAACTATCGCTATATAGTTACATAGCGTACCACATGTATTGCCTCACTTTAATCTACTGGGTTTTACCTGGACAAGTCCTTTAGCAAGGTCTCCAACCTTGCTATCTAAGAACCACCATTCTAAGGAAGTCGCCGATACTTGCCTTAGCCAGAAACCTCTGACCTCTCACTCGAGAGAAGAACCACGTCTGTCTCGCCGATACTCAGTCCACTCGGACTAAGACAGCTCGACATACCCCAGTCGTAACAAAAGATTAAAGTCCTTTTTTTAGACGCCGCCATCCGCGACGTCAGCAAGACACCACGACTTCGTTAACTCCTTTGATCGGAGCTTTGAACCTAGGCGCGCTACCGCCAATACCACCATTGAACACGATGGCGACCACCACCAAAGAATTTGAAATCAAGATCGGTACTCCCCCTGAATTCGATGGAGACCGCGACGAATCGCACAGGTTCATGCTGAACTGCAATGCGTATTTAGATATCAACGAGAAGATCTACGACAACGATAAGAAGAAAGTAATCTTCGCACTCTCGTTCATGACCAAGGGCAACGCTGCCGCTTGGAAAGAAGACTTCATGGAGACCGCTCAAAACGCCAAGTTGAAGAATACTGCCGGAAACCTCATCGGTTACGGTAGCTGGGATGAGTTCAAGGTCTCGTTCAAAGAAGCCTTTGGAGCTATTGATCCCAAAGGAACAGCCATGGCTAAAGTACGAGCCCTTGAGATGAAAGGAGACCTCCACACGTACATCTCCAACTACCGCCTCCTAGCCCACAAAGCAGGAATAACCGAGAACGTCACCAAAGTAGAGTTCTTCCGCGAAGGTCTTGACGTAGGACTTCGCAACAACCTCTACCATACTGGAGAAAGTTTAGATGACTTTGAAACTGTCATTGCGACATGTATCAACTTGGATAACGCCTTCCAGAGGTTGAGAGCCATCCAGAAACGAGAGAATCCCACGCACTACCAGCCTAGGAAGAAGAAGTACGGAGATCGTCACTTCACCCCCCGCAGAAGCGATGCCATGGAGATAGACCAACTCTCCGAATCCGAAGTAAAGAGGCACCTCAAAGAAGGACGATGCTTCAAGTGTCATCAGACGGGCCACCGTGCCAATGACGCTACATTCCACCCCAGGGAGGACAGAAAACAGAAGATGCCTGTCCGAAGAAAGGTTGAGAAAGAAGAGAGTAGTGATGACGACGAAGAGGTAAACCGACGGTTCGTGGAGATGGATTTTTAGAGAGGGAGACTGCATCGATGTCAGTACCCCCTGTCCCAATACGACTTGTACAATCACTTGGAAATAAAAAGGAGCTTCGTGTCCCAGCCACTATTATTTCCACCAAGCGTAACAAAACCATCGAAACCTCTATGGTCATTGACTCCGGAGCCAGTGGAACCTTCATTAGCGAAGAATTCTGCAAACTCCATGGAATCAAGACCCACAAACTCTCGAAACCATTCCCCGTTATAACTGCAGACGGATCTGATGCTAGAGGAGGACTCATCTCTCGCTATTGCGTCCTTATTGTCAAAATTGACGGAAGAACCATGATAGGGAAATTCAATATAACCAAACTATCAAAGAAGGATAAGATCCTGCTCGGATTCCCATGGTTAAAAGCTCTGAACCCGTCAATCAACTGGACAAACAAAGAACTATCTCTCGCTCCAAACGAACGATCGCTCGAGATCGAAAAGAAAATCGACCATCTTAGGAAACAGCGCAATCTACCGCTACTGTTTCCTCGTCCCGTTCTCGCAGAAAAAGAACCGTCCCGCGAGTGGAAGAATTCCAAGCTAAAGAAAAACCCCGTTTACCCACGAGCTTCTGTAGAAGAAATCACCGACGAAGAACTTCCTCATCTCGCACCAGATCAAGATGAGCCGGATTACGACACTAAGGAAGACGTATGGTCAGAAAACTATGCCCCTCCAGTGGTCGATCCCTCCCTCTATCCTCTGAACGACGAAGACGTCTTGATCGAATACTCCCCTGACGGATTCTCAAGTTCGAGTAATCTCCGACGTCTCTTTTGACACTCCTCTCACCAGAGACGGTACGTCAGAACAGGAGCAAAGTTATTCGAAAACCAGCAATAAAGCACAAGAGTTCGCTGTCGCCGGGGAGAAAGAAAAAATGAAGAAGAGTTTCGAAGAACTCGTTCCTTCCTACCTGCATACTTACGCTGATATTTTTGCGAAAGACGGCCTTAATAAGTTACCACCAGAACGCCCTGGGATTGATCATCGGATCGATCTAAAACCTGGATTCATGCCAAGAACATCCAAAATCTACCCGTTATCAGGAAAGGAAAGAGAAGCGGTAAAAACGTTTATCGCAGAAAACACCGCAAAAGGATTCATCGTACCCTCGAAATCCCCGCAAGCCAGTGGATTTTTCTTTGTAGGAAAGAAGAGCGGAGAGTTGCGCCCTTGTCAGGACTATCGATACCTCAACGACTGGACCGTACGCAACCAATATCCGCTCCCACTCCCTAAGACTCTTATAGAACGACTCTACAAAGCCAAACATTTTACAAAAATCGACATACGTTCTGGCTATAATAATATCAGAATCCACCCCGACGACAGATGGAAGGCGGCCTTTACTACCGAAGAAGGCCTGTTCGAGCCCACTGTAATGTTTTTTGGCTTAACCAACTCCCCCGCCACTTTCCAATCCTACATGAATAATCGCTTCCAGAGCGAGATCAACGAGGGATGGATCGTTATATATATGGACGACCTACTCATTTCTCCTCCGACCCCGAAGAACATCGTGAACGGACGAAAAGAATACTAGAGATACTCCGTTGCGAACAATTGTTCGTCAAACCAGAGAAATGTACTTTTGATGCAACGGAAGTGGAATACCTAGGAATGATTATTCGTCCTGGAGAAGTTGCTATGGAACACGCCAAAGTTGACGGAATAAAGGACTGGCCTACCCCGGCATCTGTAAGGGACGTCCGCTCTTTTCTCGGATTTTGCAACTTTTACAGGGCGTTTGTATCCCACTACTCTGATATCGCCCGTCCGCTCATCAATCTCACTCGGAAAGACCAAGTGTTTGCCTGGACGCCTGACGCTCAGACCTCGTTCGATAAACTCAAGCAGTGTTTTACGACGAAACCAGTATTACGGAACCCTGATCCTACCCGCCAGTTTGCCCTTGCTACAGACGCCTCCCTGGTAGCAACAGGGGCTGTACTCCTCCAGACGGATGAAAATGGCGTCTATCATCCCTGTGAATACATCTCCCAATCCTTCAACCCCGCCGAACGAAACTATGAAATCTTCGATCGGGAACTGCTCGCTATTATCCGCGCCCTCAATGAATGGCGTCATTATCTGGAAGGAAATCCCCACCCCATTCTCGTCTTCACCGACCACTTGAACCTCCTCTACTTCTCGAAAGCACAAAAACTCTCGCGCAGACAAGCACGATGGCAGCTTGTTCTGTCTAATTATGATCTTGAACTGCACCATGTCCCTGGTACGAAACTTGCAGCACCTGATGCACTCTCCCGACGCCCAGATCACGGCCTTGGTGAACACGACAATGAGGATCGTGTACTCCTTCCAGACTCCATGTTCATACGGTTGCTCGATGACGAACTCTCTACCGCCCTCGCCCAGAATTCTTTAGATGACCCCATTTTCACCACCGCCAACGACGCTCTAGACGGGCTTTGTCTGCCCCCCATGAAGTCGGCCCTCTCGGACTGGAAGATCTTGAACGGGGTGCTCTATTATAAGTCTCGCGCTTATGTCCCGCCCTCACACCGGCTGGCCGTCCTATCCCGTCATCATGATCACCCCACGGCCGGCCATCCCGGACGGTTTAAAACCGAAGAACTCGTTAAGCGCGACTACTGGTGGCCTGCCATGGGCACTTTTATTCGCTCTTATGTCACAGGCTGCGCTATCTGTCAGCAGATGAAGACGGATACCCACCCCGTTTCGCCACCCCTTGTCCCCATTCCCTCCTCGGCTACCCGCCCCTTCTCTCAGGTCTCTGTTGACCTTGTCACCGACCTCCCTGTATCCAACGGTTTTGACTCTCTCATGGTCGTGGTAGACCATGGCCTTACGAAGGGGGTGATTATTTCTCCCTGTAACAAAAACATCTCTTCTGAAGGAGTGGCTAAACTATTCTTTAAAAACGTATTCAGACGCTTTGGACTCCATGAAAAAGTGATCTCTGACCGAGGTCCTCAGTTCGTCTCGAAGTTCTCTAAAGAATTAGCACGCCTCCTTGGATATCAGATCGCTGCCTCTACTGCCTATCACCCTCAGACCGACGGTCAGACCGAACGACTCAATCAAGAGATAGAGACATACCTCCGGATATACTGCAGAAGTAACCCCTATGAATGGTCGAACCACCTACCCCTCGCCGAATTTGTACATAACCATCGAAGACACGAGGCAAGGAACGCATCCCCGTTCTTCCTCATGATGGGATACGAACCTCGCGGTATTCCCCACGTGCTACCATTATCGGATACCCCTGCCGCAGAAGAAAGGGTTCGCACCCTTCAAAAGATCAGAGAAGAAGCTATCTCTTGCCACAATATCGCCATGCAACGAATGGCAGAAAGGGCGCATGGAAAGAAGTACCAACCATGGAAGATAGGAGATAAGGTCTGGCTATCCGCGACCAATCTCATGACCACACTCCCATCTAAGAAGCTTGCACCCAAACGACACGGACCGTTCCCCATAACCGCAATCTTATCACCAATCACGTTCACTCTGAGACTTCCCGAACAATGGAAGGTTCACCCCACGTTCCATGCTTCCGAACTATCTTCCTATCAGGAGACAGAGATACACGGACCGAACTATGAAGAACCACCTCCAGATATAGTCAACCAATCGGAAGAATACGAAGTCGAAGCGGTCCTGAGTCACAAGGGAACGGGTAAACGAAGACGCTATCTCGTATCCTGGAAAGGGTACTCTTCTGGAAGCAACGAATGGATCCCTGCGGAGAACATGGAAAACGCCGAAGACCTACTTTCCGCCTATAAGAAGAGGCACAAGTTGGACTGAATCGACCAGTCCCCACTACCACACCAACAAGAACATGTCTTACCCAACCACGTCTCCTACTGAGTCCAATGCCTCCTCCATCAGTCTCTGCGAATCCCCCTTCGCTGACAACGTTGTCAGTATCGAAGACGACGTTATCGTCGAAACCACTATCCTCTCTATCGCCCACGCCCTCGAAATCGAAAATTATCTCAACAACCAGCCAGCAGTGCCAGCGGGAGTCGCTGCCACATATATCCATATCATTAGAGCCACCCAACGTCTTGAAGAAGAATTTGCCCAGATTGAGAACGACGCCCTCCGACTCTCCTGCAACCACGTCCAGCGACGCATACGCTCGCTTACGCTTCAGCTATTTCCTCTTGGTTTCAGCACTATCTGCAGGGAAATTATACAGACTGTTGCTGATAGAAACTCCTTCCAAGTCGGCCGCCCGTTGCCTCCTATTACTCACAATCCCCCCGCTGTTCTACCTGATCCAACTTCGATTGGAGGGAACTTTGCACTGGTACCTGTACCTGTCCCAGCGCCCAGCGAGGTCCAAAGAAGGAACCTCCGTGGCGGAGCCGCCATTCACGGCGTAACTAAGAAAAGATCATCCAAAGGAAAGAAGCGCGAGGTCATCGACCTCACCGTAGAACCCCCTGCTATTCCATCCTCCAGCATCGTTATCAGAACCCCCTCGTTAAAACAAGTCGTCGGCACTATCGCCGACGTCAACTTCATCTGTCGACTCTGCAAGAAGCTTGGTCACAAGCACAGGAACTGCCCCTTGTACTATTGCCGCGTCTGCGGCGACACAAAGCCTGGGCACTTCTCCATCTACTGCCCCTTCGCCACCACCAAAATACTATTCCCGTTGGTCTATACCGACGACGGCTTCTACGACGCGTTAGCCGCGTGGGAAGCGGAGAAAGATAAGAAAGAGGAAGAAGATCTCGCGCGTGCTGAAAGAGAGTATTTGGCACAGCCAGAGGAACTAGAGTTCCAGAATGCCGACGCCGACCCCATCTACTACGCCAACCAGGACGACTAGTGATGTCGATGCCGGTGCCATCGACCATAACACGGGGGTAATGTTACGGTATATTCATTCTCTTCGCTTCTCATTCGATACTGGACAATGGTACATGCATACGGCCCTTAACGAGCGACCAATCACCTTCCAGACCCTCACACATATCATCGCCAAGCTAACATTCCGTACCAGTAACCATCACTATGTTTAGCTCTTATCTCTTATCGAAGCGGGCTGTCCGCACCATGGTTACTATCTCCCTATCGCTTATCTGTTATCACTCACCAAGCGGGCTGTCCGCCTTCTATCTTGATACGTACTTACAAGCTCCGCTTGAACTATCGCTATATAGTTACATAGCGTACCACATGTATTGCCTCACTTTAATCTACTGGGTTTTACCTGGACAAGTCCTTTAGCAAGGTCTCCAACCTTGCTATCTAAGAACCACCATTCTAAGGAAGTCGCCGATACTTGCCTTAGCCAGAAACCTCTGACCTCTCACTCGAGAGAAGAACCACGTCTGTCTCGCCGATACTCAGTCCACTCGGACTAAGACAGCTCGACATACCCCAGTCGTAACAGAGGGCAGATGGGAAGTTTTGGGCGATGGATCCTTTCCAGTGGCCTCAAATGTACGCAGACGCTTACACCTGGAGTTTTACCATTCCACGACGCGAATTCCATGATCCTAGCACTGACCTGTGGTATGCTTGGTGGTCGCCAGCTTTTTCTGACGATTTTGAGCCACTATCTCCTGGTCATGTCTTTGGCAAGCTGAAGTCCACCCACCGTGATCACCTATTTCGACTGTACGAGCGGGCTAACAAGCGCGTCGGCTCCTACAAGCTATTCCGAGAAAACAAGCAAGATGCGGTTGTTGGATGGGTCACCGGGTTGCACTCTGTTTTTGAACGCTTCAAAGAGACGTGAGCTTGGCGAGATATTGTGATGATCTTGGCCGAGTTTCAGAGGCAATTTCTGGAGATATGGAGCATGATGGATTACCTTGAGATCTTTGAGCCATGGTTGAAATTTGAGGACAAAGCGCACGGGGTCAACAAGACTTGGATGGGGTGCTTCACCAAAGACTCCGCTATCATGTTGAGGCTCCACAAGGCTGGTGTACCTGTGTGGTTGATACGAGATGTCAGGCTCGTCAATGATAAGATTAACATCTGCCAAGTCATTCCCTTCACTCCTGCTGACCTTGTGTTTGGGATGTACCTCCATCCCATTAAGAACTTCGCTCAACCTTTCGATATCCGTTACAAGGGTCCAAGTGATCATCAACGCCAGGCTGTGGTTCGTCAACCGTACCTTACTTTTGAAGAGATCCCTATGGATCAAACCGAAGTCAATCACTTTGCAGCTTCCAGAGAGCCGTCATCGGGTAAAGCGCCCACCAAGACCACGAAAAATAAGTCCGCAGTATGTGAGTGCAGTGTCTAATTTCGGTTCACCATTCTTATCTAACAATTATCTAGATGAACCGACCGCTCTGCGCCAGAACCAGTCTCAAGTTGGACGTGACAAATGGTGCGATGTGGCTCACCCGTTCATGCCCAACATCAACACCTTCTTCGCATCGGCTATGACTCACGCGGACAAAGATTTGAGTCATGTCAAGCCAACCCACGCAAGAATGGATGAGGGATACAGGCTCCCCGATCCTGGATTATTTGTCAACATCCTTTCCTCGCAGTCTCTGAAGAAATATCTCGCTAACTGGTTGGCATGCCGTGAGTCGTGGCTGAGGCATGTTTATATGTCGCCTCCATCTCCGCTCCCTCGGTCCCAAAGCTGGCGTGATCTATTGATCACGCAGCCAACAACACCACAGCCCTCATCGTCAAGTGGTCAGATGCCATCAGGCAAGACTGGCAAGTCCAAAGCCAAACTCGACCTGTTCTTTGGAGATGAATTATCGCTCCTATGCCAGTTTTGGACTGGATCCCAGATGTTGCAATGGAGGGGTCAGAAAATCGAAGCAGCAACGCTCGAGAATCCGCCGCATCGTCTCATTCAACAGATCATATACGAGATTTGCGAGCAAAGCTTCCGATACGACCTTCTGGAACTCGATGAACATCTTGCTGGTCATATGCGGCTGGATCGGGAGGCGAAGAAGTGTCGCATGGAGTTGCTCCATGGAATTTTTCCTCAGCATGCCCTCAGCATGTGGGATAAGGATTTTTCGACTCGGAATGATGGACTTAATGCTGAGTCTTTCCAGGATGCTCTTCCATATTTCGAGAATTTTCGTCAAGTGTTGATCGCATGGGACGGTGCTCCTCAAGATCTCAAACAGCCTTTCACCGAGTCGATGCCCGAGGGAGAGAAGTGGCAACGCATGAAGCAATGTGCCCTGTTTTATGTACAATCATTTTATGACAACACAGGTCGCCCCCCCGTGGTCCCTCATATACTTTACGTGGGTCCATAGACGATTTACACTCGCTTCTGTTTGCTTCTGTATTTGTTCGTTGATGTGAGTTGCTATGCAGCGTGGTTCTTTCATGTACAATTTCTGTTGGTGAATTCTATTGACTTGTTGCTCTGGTGCTATTCACTGTTTGTTGATCACTGGTGTTCATGACCATTATCCTCCTCCCAGGCTAGTATCTACTAATTTTTGCTACATAGGTCATACGAACTGGGACTTCGTGTTCCTCTGTGCTTGTTGACTGACTTCGAGTCAGTCACAATATTCTTGCAAGCTTTGTGCCTATCAGAAACATCTACCATGGATGGAGGACCACATCCACGGAATATCGCCTCGACGTCTACTCCTGCAACTCCTGTCCGTCGTCATTCGCAGCAAATATTAATCACACCATCCATGGTCAAGAAGCGCCGGAAACCACGAGGAAGCAACGCATTTCATCTTCCAGGTCCTCCTCCAGTTCTAGTACTTCTGGGTAGGCAGTATTTCGCCCAACAAACTGCTTCCAATTCCAATCCTCGGCTTGATGTCCCACCTCCTGATCCGATTGACCAGGACAGGCCTTTGTTTTATGACGATGTCCACTTCTTCTCCGATCCCTCCGCTCCAATGGGCGGCAGAAAAAATTCAATCAGTGGCAACGCTGGTCAAACGAAGTGATTCCTTCGCTAATCGGTCCATACCTCACATATCAATACAAATCTTCTTCGCTCCGTCATCGGCCTGCACTTCAAAATGATCCTGTCGAGTGTACGGCTTCATGCCACAGGAGGACTTTAGAAGTGACTTGTGTTTTTTTCAATTGTACGAACTCACCATATTGTTATGTGGCTCGAATTGACTGTAGTCCAGATTTAGAGGTTTTGAACATTGACTGCTGCCCCTGCGCACCCGCACCCCTTCAACTTCTTAAGTTGGGGCTATTTGCATGTGCACCCATAGCTCCATCTCTTGCTGTTGACCTACGTGTACTAGAGCTCGTTAGGACTCTTTTTGTACGGATCACCCCCAATACAACAGCCTGGTGTGAAGCATTGGAAGTTTTTCTAACAGCTCGGGGTTACAAACTTTCTACCAAGGTCTGCCTGCACGATTCTTTTTTGAAGTAAGCTAACTCCGGCATCTTCAGGACAATCTTCGCCGCCGCTTCAGTAATGCGTATCATTGGTACTCAGTCCTTGTGATGAATGCTGGAGACCACGTATACAGCCTCATTTCACAACATCTTCCTTCGCGTTCTTTGGGGGACGAAGTCTTGCCCGCACAACCAAGCGATTATCTCCGTTCACGTTGTCCAGTTTGTTTTGGAATGCAGGATTGGCAAAAGGATCACGGTTCGCGTCTCAAGTATGTCTTTCCTACTGTGTTTTCCCCCGTGCTGATGTTTTTGCAGGCTAGATTGCCATGTATGCATCGATGCATGCTTCACACAGAAACGGTCAGCCAATTCACGTGGGGCCGATGGCCTAGATCCGCCAAACCCAACACGATCAGTTTTCATTTCGGACGAAGAGGTCGCACGGATGGAAGCTCACGTACTTGCCTGTCGAGGCTCCCTACCTGGTCGTGGAACAAAACGCAAGAAGCCGGAAGGCGACGAAGACGGGTATGAAGATGGTATGCGCATCCCTGTATCGACATTGGATGCCTGCAGGGAATCTTTTCTTGCTGCCGACGAAAAACGAGAGAAAGCTAGCACCCGTTTCTTCGCCGATACGGGAATCATGGCCTTACTTTGTCGTCATGATTGTGTCTTATGGTTGGTCAATATGACATCAGCAGGTGAAAAACAATATTATGCGCTTGCACTTATTAAAAAGCTCTTCGAACATCTTCCGCCAACCATGACCGTCGGTATCTTGTATGATATTGCATGTCAGCTCGAGCGTAGTTGTCTTAAATACCAACTTCTCGAGCAAGGTATTCTCTCACGTATCGTCTTTTCTATATCCGTATTTCACGTGTACGGACATCAGTGGCCTTGTCAGCTTATTTATCACCCTCGCAAATGTGAAGGGTTTGGACTTTCTGACGGAGAGGGCTGTGAGCGCCTGTGGAGCGCTCTCAAGATGTTGATCCCCCCCTTGCGGGTCTCTGGGGTAAGTATCTTAATTTGTATACCTTGACTGACTAACATTAAGATAGTACCACCAACGGCTTTTTGTGCTGAATGCGCAAGTTCGGCATCTTGACGGCAAAAATCTCGATACATTTGGCAAGTGGCTGAGTCGCAGATGGACTCGTTGCCAGACAAAGAAGAGCAGTGCAGAACATGCGCTTCAACAACTCTCTGTAGATGAAGCTAATATACGCCCGGAATGGAGGGCTCAGGTCGAGCACCAAACGAAACCATTATCCAGTGCGTGCTTTATTTTATATTTTCATATTTCCCTAACATTAATAGAAAGGGAGATCAAAAACCAACAATGACAAGCAAATATCGAAGATTTTGACCCTCGAGCGAACACTCAGTAACCTGGACGATTCCGTTCGTGCTCTTGAGATGCAGCTCTGTGCTGGCAACACTCTTAACAATGTTGACTTCAACCTTCGACTTGCAGACGAACGCACCCACCGGTCCAAAGTTGCTGATACTCTGCGACGATGGAAGGCATCCCTTGGCATCGGGCAACTTAACGATCTTCAACAACTCCGACGTAGTATATTCCTTCAAATTCGTCTTGATGCGCAAGCTGTCAAGGCACGCCTTCGTGAACGTCTGCGCCAGCGCAAATTTGAAATTGAGAGGTTTGAACGGTCGTACCGTCAGACAGTAAATGGTATGTAGCTCGTTTCAATATGTTGACATGTCCGTGATTATCTTTGATCTAGAGCACAAGCTTCATGTGCATGCAGAAGCTTCAATTCAACGGCGCAACCCTACCATACGAAAGCTTGTCACAACTTACAACAACCTCTGTGGTAAACTAATTGACTTAATTCGACGAGGCGAGGCTCCTGCCGGTGCGATAGCGCCTCATTCTATCTCTCCGACTGGTATCTTTCAGCTTGATGTAGATGATGACATCTGGCAAGATGTTGGACTTGACAGCAATGACATGGCTCCACCTGCCTGGCTAGCGGATGAAAATATGCGTGCAGCAATTAAGTTTCAACTCGAGGTAGACCGGTGCAATGAGGAAAGGGCTCGTATCATGCGAGAACGTTGTGTTCTCCAGGAGTGGATGATGGCTGAGTGGGATGCCTTGCAGGAGGCTCGCACTTGTGCAGGTAAGTTTGTACAACATTCTACTGCCGTGACACTGATAGTATATTTAGAAGAAAATGAAGATCTCTGCTTTCATTTCGACCTCCGTGCGCGCTTGTTGAGTGGTCTTGTTGTGCATTGGCAATCTCGAGTTTGTCCTATCCCTTGTGCTTGGCCATTGCCTGACTCATGGGGCCCCACCCCGAATGACCTTGCTGAGGCTGCTAATATGTATTATCAACCAAGCTGTCTTGATGGCACAGCTGCTGTGTATGATTCTGAGAATGACTGGGAGTCTGATGAGGAGAGGGAGAATGATGAATTGATAGATGAATTGGAGGAAGCTGCATTGGCTGGAGCATATATAGATCTTGACTCGGATTCATATGATATATAGTCTTTTGTAACAATATCCGAAATTCTCGAGTGATTGCTATTAGACAATACTTGGAAAGTGCAAATATATCATGGGCTATCCCATCTTAGAATTCAAAGATGGTGGGGCATCCCAGACATGGGCTATCTCATCATGGGTAGGAGAGTGCCGGGCCAGCCCAGTGACCATATGAACCAGCGGTGGGCTATCCCATATCATGCGTAGGAGAGTGCCGGGCCAGCACAGTGACCATATAAACCAGCGGTGGGCTATCCCGCATCATGCGTAGGAGAGTGCCAGGCCAGCCCAGTGACCATATAAACCAGTGGTGGGCTATCCCGCATCATGCGTAGGAGAGTGCCGGGCCAGCCCAGTGACCATATAAAACAGCGGTGGGCTAGCCCGCATCATGCATAGGAGAGAGCCGGGTCAGCCCAGTCACCATATAAAACAGCGGTGGGCTATCCCGCATCATGCGTAGGAGAGCGCTGGGCTGGCCCAGTGACCATATAAAACCAGCAGTGGGCTAGCCCGCATCATGGGTAGAAGAGGTGCTGGGCTGGCCCAGTCAACATATAAACCAGCGGTGGGCTATCCCACATCATGTGCAGCAGAGTGCTGGGCTGGCCCAGTAAGACAACCCTCCCTCCCTCCTACCACAAATAGGACCTTACCCGACTTACATTCTTCCCTCATCTTCAAAGACAATTCCTCCTCCTACCACAAATAGAACCTTATCCGACTTACATTCTTCCCTCATCTTCAAAGACAACCCCCCCCGTCTACCACAAATCTCTTCCTGCCTCCTCCAGCTGCTTTGAATTTCGTAGGTCAAGAACCTTACCCAACTTACATTCTTCCCTCATCTTCAAAGACAAGCCGCCCCCCCCCCCCCCCTCACCACATATTTCTTTTCACTTTCTCCATTTGTAGGTCAAGGACCTTATGAAGACAAACATTATACTCTAAGTGTCTAAATGTGTGGGTAATTTTTCATGAGAAATGACCCCTGACACCCCCTGTGTATTCATATAATAAAGTATCTAGGATGACCCAGATGGGTCATGGGACAGATCAAATACATTGGCCCAGCAGGCCCAGGCTTCGTGGGGAAAGTGTTCCGCATAAACTTAGATAAAGCTGTTTGAACTAGATCTTTTTTCGTGTAACTAATACAAATTAGATATATTAGATGGACTAGACATCCTAGCCAGACTTTATTGCTGATTTTCAATTAGCCATACCTTTGTGCTATTTAGAACAATTAGACATCCTAGTAGACAACTAGGAAGGCCTTTACACACCTTAGGAAACACAAATAGGAAGATTTTCACACTTGAAGCACATGGAAGAAATTGATGATATCATTAAAATCATGTATCAGGCTAATGTGGTAATGGATGACTTACTGTAGGCTAAATAATCCAGAATATCTCATTTTGGAGCCTAAAATACATTTGCAATCACATCAATAATTTAATGTATGCAACAATAATCCCCCATGTGCTCAGTCTTTAGATTTAGTCCAGTCCTTAATTCGGACAATCTTGCAATCCAGTACCTGCTTCTCAATGACGATGAGGCAGAACTTTTCAGAAAGTCTGGGAATCTGAATTTCCAGCAGTATCCATCCGGCTGCATGCGGTGTAGGTATACAACACAGAGTGGGGCTATACAAAGATGGCTCCAAACTGATATCTTTATGTTGTGGTCTTGCACTGCCTAGTCTGCTATACTTGCGGGACAAGTGCATTCGACCCAGGGGTCTGCGGTCTGGGAATAGTTTTGGGGGTCAGTGAGTGATGTGAGGTCAATAATCCGAGTGCGGGAAACAATGTCCGAAGGTATAATTACGATGTCCGATGTTTTTTGGGTTTTGGGTTATTGGGTTCGGGTTTGGGGTATTGGAAACTAATAGTAACGCGATAGTGAGCGTTGGGAAAGCGAGTGGTGTGTGCAATAATAACGATGATGGATACGGATGGTGAAGTAACGATGATATTTGCAATGTCAACTAAGAACTATGAATTATCAGGTTTGACCCCTAAGTGTCGGAGACGATTCTCCTCTACTTGGATGATGATGATGCTATGGGGAGTCCAATATTTATGTAGATACATAGAAATCCGGAACCCTACAGGCGAAAGTAGTAGCGCAATATTTCGGGTCCGATGTCCTATGTAATAAGACATGATGTACTGCGGACTATGGGAATACATGTAATAATGCAGTCGACAATGTTAGGGATGTGAAAACAAGTAACTACGCACCTAGTGGGGCTAGTGCAATGAGACTGGACATAGGTAGAATGAGTGGGCGCGATATCCGATTGGCCGATGTGAAACCCAATGCGAAAACCCAATGTCTGATGTCCGATGTTTTTGGGTTTGGTGTGTATTGAGTTGGATATGATAGGGAATGATTTGGCTAATGATTAGCATTCAACATGCATCAGAAAATAGACCTCTACGAGGCCACAAGGACTCCAAGTCCTACAGCAGGTCTGTCTGGATCTGTCTGTGCACAACTTGTCAGTTCTTAATGTCACATCATACAATGAGCTCATTTTCATGACTCGTTACCGTTTTGAATACATCAAATTAGTGATCTTCCAGCCTGGCCTGGCCTGACTCTTACAGCTTTGTGCAGCTGCAGATATAGTTTGAGCTTTCAGATGGGCTTTTTGCCTGTCCTTCTCATGCACCAGGCTGGCTGGCTTTCTTATCATCTACTACAGTTTTGTGCTAGTAGCTTGCCTACCAATCATTTGGCTCAACCAGCTTTCTCATCCTCTATCAAAGGTGTTACATTTCTGTGCTTACCTGCTAATGGACTCAACCATAGACCTTGCAGATTCTAAACTGTTACATATTTTCACTCATGACTCATGCAGGTATCTCTGAAATAAGTCCGGACTAAATCTGTGAGGGCTGTGGCTCTGATGTTCCTATATAGTCTTGTTAATGTACTTATGTAGTGTCATACTCTATTGCATACAAAATATCTTGAGCTGGACAGACCCAGCCAGACTCAGCTGGATGGACCCGGAAATTCGAATTCCCAGATGCCCTCAAACTTTTGGGATGAACTACTTACCTTGTGACTGAAAATGCGCTGAATCCATATAGTCCTTGAGTTTGTTGAGCTGTCCGAAGGAAGGGGTGGGTATTTTCATGGTAAAACTGCAAATTTCATATAGAGGACTTGGTATTAAAGTCTAAAAGGAAGAGGGAGAAAGAGGCATCAACAAACTTGGCAAGATGTTGATGACGCACCTTTGTATGACTGCGAGAGGTGTGGCAGTTGAGCAAGGCTCATTACATCAGTGAACATTATTTGCCTAAAATGGACGAAAGTTAGATAATCTAGTCTGCAGGGGGCAGGGGGGGGCAAAGAAAATATGTTTGCAAATTCAGCTCAAATGAACAGCAGCATCATGGCACACCTTCCTAATATAGTCAAATTTATGATATGATATTCTAATCAACATATTTCGAGCCTACAGAAAGTCATCCAATGTACAACTCATACGAGCAAAACAAACCACAAGAAAAACATAGCAAGCAGTCAGATATAATGAGTGAGTGAGAGATATCAGGGAATTAATGATTATCCAAACTGGCCCTTTGACTCTGCACAGAAAGCCGCCACAACTAACACATCAGAACTCAGTGGTTTTGGTTGCCTTGATCTTTGTCAGCATGTTGAGTTTGGGGATTATCACATAGTATCCACGTGTGGAAGGGGGTTTACCTTTCACTGTTCATAATTCATATTGGAGGTTCACTGTGCTCAAGTGTGTTAGTTCATTCGCACTAAAGTTTGAAAGCACTCACCATTAAACAATACAACTTTATCTCTATATACCCCACTGTCATGTCCGCCCACAATGAAGAGGCAGCTTCCAATTTGCGTAGAGGTATGTGAAAGCTGCTGATGAGAGAGAGGGAGATTAAGATGGGTCCAAACAAGAGTGTCTGTTGTGAAATAAGATTGACAGTCAGGACCATTTGAATATAAAGAATGTAATTAAAATTTTAAAAAATTGGTGCATACCTGTGCAGCATCAGCAGCCATTGAGCGAGAGAGGGCAATGAGTGAGCAAGTGAGAGAGACCATCAGCATCAGGTAAGAACTGTAAAAGATGAGATCATCCACATCCTAAGAGTAGGACATGGCAGAGGCACCATCAGTAGTAGGTAAGTAGGTCAAAAGACAAGACAGCATACACTTCATCTGTAGGACTTGGGCAGGACATGGCCATGGTGCTGTCAGCTCCAATATTGCCCAAGAAGCTTGAAAGACGACAAACTGACAGCAAGATATGGCTGTGGGACCTTCAGCACATCCTAAGAAGCTTGAAAGATGAAATCACACACAATCTGAGAATAGGACATGGCTGTGGCACCATCAAAGGTTGAAGTTTGGGATGGATGATGTGAGTAGTTGTAGTAAGAGTGCACTTTGTTTGCACTTTGTTGGTTTTCTGTTGAAATCAACTGTGGGAGCTTTGTAAAATATTAGTCATATTGATTGTTCAATTTTTGTTACACAAACAACTTCAAATTATTAAATGCTATGTAGGCCTGTGCAACATAACATTCTCTTACTTCAGTCAGTGCCATGTCAATGCCTTTTCAAACCTATGCCTCATCCTAGGTCTAGTGCTGTGTCAAACCTAGGCCTCACCCTGTGCATCAGCACTTTTTAACTGTCAATGTAACTTAACTTAGGTATATTTTCAGCCTGTTATATTCGTTGATTTTCTAATAACAGTGTCTTCTTTCAGCCTAACAGAACTGGATGTTCTGCCTTCATATGGCTACCGCTGTCCTCTGCCAAAGTCCACCTTCTCTCTACTCATCCCACATTACGCTGCAAACAATGCTGACATAGTTAGTCAGCATTAATATTTCCGGCATTGTCTACCATAGTGCTTGCTAATGTTCTTAACGAGTGTTCATCATTTTATGTAAATACATACTTAGATTGATGTAGTTTTGTAACACTATGCTAGTTGACAATGGTTATCATTAGCTTGCACTATACTATTGTTCTTAGAACTAGCTACTATAAAATTTCACAGCTGTTAAAAATTTGTCTAAGAACATCTAATTTATCTAAGTCTATATGGGAGGGTTTTCCTGATGAACTATGACTTGGAAACTAACATTGGTTGATGTGAGACGTAGCTTGGATATGAAAAAGTGATCAAAAGACAAACTTACCTCTTGCTATCTCCTATTGCTGATGCAGGTTATCTTTCTACTCTTGTATATGGTTGTCCCTCTCTTTCTCCTATATAAATAATGCAGATCAGTGTGAGTAAACAGATGTGACAAAGTGTTGAAACAAACAATTGCAGTACAGGTGCTGCATTTCCCATCGCCTGGTAACCCCCAAAACAGGCTGTGGGAAGCTTTCAGATGGGCAGTAAACTAAATCAAAGCTTGCTTACAGAGTAAGATGTCTTTGAAGGAGAATCTTATACAACCCTCTATAATAGCCTCATGTCACAAGTTCCAAATATGAACCATTATACTTTTCTGAATTTGAAGTCTTTTAAGTGTCCAGTCATAGTGCCTATACCTAAGAACATATTTATAGTTGAAGAAGTGCCTACAATGTCTATTGTAGAATTACCAAACATACCTGTATCTGAATTACGTGACTCATCAGAAGAACCTGAACTCAATGACATCATGCCACACAACACTCTTGGAATGTTCCAGAGTCTTACTGCAGCTGCGGCACATGTTATGACATCATAGTTATATATAGAATTGTGCAATACCTTTAATTATTTTGATTGGTTAGTTAGTTCATACTCAATTTCAATCTTCAGTTTAAACCTCTTGTTTCTGAGCTTACTGCTTTGCAATCTAAGATGTCCTTGCTCCTTTCTCTTTGTGATTATCTGATAGTTTGAGTCCTAGTCTCTGCCCAGTGTTAATTTGTTATTGTGTTGTGACATCTCAATACAATCAGGAGTATGGAATATAATATTAGGGGCCTCAGTGAGGGCAGAGGAAACTGACTCCCTTGATATCATAACTGAAGATTTTGTGTCTCTGGAACATAGTCAGGGTCATTCATCATGGTCTTCTCCTAGTATTTCATCTTATTGGAATGTGGCTGTTTAGCATTATAATAGGCCTAATCCAGTCTGCAAGCAAGAATCACTCTAAGTGACTCAAGGTTCTGATCTTCAGCAAATGCATGGATTGTCTGCTTTGTCACTTATTGGTTTAGGATTTCATTGAACATGTTGGATTTGGTTCCTGGCTTGACCTCAATGATGAGGATGCCATATTTTTTATTAAAACATGGCAGACTTGGGGATTCCTCTGGTTGAGTTGGACTAGTGTGATAGAGAACTTGTGCAAAATCAGGTATTTTAATGGATCTTTGTGAAATATGATTTGGAGGTGAGGGAGATATTTGCATGCTGCCTAAGTCACTAGTATATTGTGATGATTAGTTGAATAGTGGTATCATATCATCATCAACATCATATGTCCAGGTGAGCAAATATTGTGGATTGGTGAGGCAGGCTATTATTTTGGTCATGATATCTGAGTCTGAGTATAGAAATAGGTATTGGTTCAAGCACATGTTCTAGACTTTGTACCAAAGTCATTCCCTCTGATGTAGGTCATTGGCAGCAGCACTGATGGTGAGTAGGGATTAGCAGGGGTATGGGAAACTCTCGAGGGTCAGGGGTAAGGGTACTTGAAGGTAGGGGTAGAAGTTTGGATCTGGAGACTCTTGTACCTCTGGACAATTGGTAGATATCCCTAGGAATATACCCTAAACTAATTACCATAGCAGTAATAGATAAGTATAAAATTTTGAAGTTGTACATTTGCTTTCAAATAGTAATATATGTGATTGGAAAAAATGTTATCCTAGAGTATACCCACCATGGGTATGAGTATGAGTATTTATCTCTGGTACCCTTTAAAAAACCTACACCCACACTGTGGGTGGGGGTATTTTGGTGGGTAAGTGTAAGGGTATTACTCCAGATACTCTAGGGTATACCTATGCTAATCCCTAACATTAGTGAGACATGGATAAATATCAATGTCAATACTAGCCATTGTGGGATAGATACTGATAATGAAAGTAGATAACAAATAATTGAGTATGTGTTGATATAGATTGAAAACAACAGAACCTGTATTGTGAGGTCTTTTGGAAAAAAACTACCAGCAAGGCTTCTTGAGATAGTAGAGGTTGAGAGAAACTTTTGAAAGGAAAGCTCAAAGACACATTAAACACTGAGACAGAGTAAAAACAAGACATGACTATTTATAGATGTCAGAGTTCTGACTGGTCTGAGTATATATAAGTCTGCACAGACTCTAGGTTTGTGTCAGTTGGTCAGTTTTAGCCTCAAACCTTAAACCTTGAAGCTTAATCTCTAATTTGGTTTACACCCTACTATGAGTTGTTGAGTACCCACTGCCTCTGGTATACTGTGAAAGTGGCAACTAGGGATCTGCACAGATGTACCTATGGGTCTGCAAGCACCAACAACACCACTAGCACCATCCAGATTACCATTTACTGCTACCACCTGATCTCAACAGCTACCAGTGCTTAGCATATACACCCAGTGTTATGCATGATATGGATATCATACATGGACATTTTTCATACAAAAGCCTATAGCAATCTAGCTTATTAGCATTGTCTATGAGAAGCTTGCTTAGAGGCAATAAATAAAAAGTTGAAGAAAGAAGCAGAAAGACTTAAGTACTTTGTATTAGGATCCAGTTCGATTGTGGTTTGCTGAATGTCTGAAAACTGTGTTTCTTACATAATCTTTTCATTGGTCTATGATTGCATTTGTTTATCTATGTTTCATATTTATGAGTTGTTTACTTTCATGATGTTAGCTTTCTCTTCTAGGGGAAAGCTTACATAATGAGTTCACATATGATTATTCAGAACTTGGCAAGATCAAGCTTAGTCAAATATGATGACTCATGAACTCGTTTTCACTGCTCAATTTGTTATCTAGCACCACTATTTGCATATTGGTAATCTGATTGATCAGACTAAGTTAGTTCTATTTTTATTTAATAGTATATATGTAATATTTTATTACAAATAAGTGGAGCAGGATATTCCAGATATTCATTTGGTACCTAGGTATCTTTCCTACGTCAAATGTATAAAAGGAGAACCTCTTCTCTACTAAAAAAAGAGATTTTCCACTTTATCTGTCTCTTACAGAGGAGAATTCCCACTTCACCTGTCTGTCATAGGAAGTGTAGGGACCAGTATTTCCCTTAGTTAGTCTACACTGAGATTAGGTAATCTTAGTCTTGTATTTACTTACTATTGTTGGACTCCAGCTAGTCTATCACTTATATTTAGTTATCTAGTCCTTAGGTGGTCTAGATTTGTTGTATTCTTGTTGTAATTATATCAGCAAGGATTTGTCTGGGAAAAGCTTAGTCAGCATTCCCATCTTTTGTTTGCAAGACCTTTCAGCCACAGCCTGAGGTCCAGCTTAGTCATAGGTTCTCACACCCTTCTAGCTTGAAGTATGTTTAGCCTACTTATTTAGGATAGTTTCTTGTATTACTGTCTATCACTCTGTTCATAACATTTCAATAACTCTCTTAGGAATTTTACCTATATCAGACATTGTCTATTTCATTTCAACAGTCCATTGCTTTAACTAAACGACTGACTATATAGTCTTGCCTCCAACGAACAGCACATTATCAACCAAGAAGTAGAAAATCCATTGATCATGTACTTGAGGAGTTGGCAGCTTTTGTCTTATCAAAATGTAGTTATAGTGTCACTGCATTTTATATGAAAACATATAAGACCCTCAAGTAATAAGACACTGGTGCATGTCAGTGAATGCTGATGTGGCTTGAACATGTGTAGTGGACACCAGAAAGCACCAGAAGAGTGGAAGGAGGGACAAGAGGGGAGAAACAAAGGAAAGAGATCAGAAGGACAAAGTAGTTAGTAGTATAAAAACACACAATACACACACCTTAGAGAAAGGCACCCACAATCCCTCTGCTGTGTGAGGAGAGTTAAGCCATGAGGTTGTTTAATGACATAGACTGATGTGTGTGACTGACCAGAAGCAAAGCCAGCACTAGTGCTGCCGAAGTCCGGTGTAGGACTTGGAGTCCTTGTGGCCTCATAGAGGTCTATTTTCCGATGCATGTTGAATGCTAATCATTATCCAAATCATTCCCTATCATATCCGACTCAATACGCACCAAACCCGAAAACATCGGATATCAGACATCAGGTTTCACATTGGCCAATTGGATATCGTGTGCTGTCTTACTAGGATGTGAAAACAGGAAAATCACCAATTTTCAGTATCCTACCACAGTCAATGGTTCAGACAAATACCAACAGTTGATAACATAGTTGTTCATGAGAAAAGTGTGTTGAGTTCTCAGAAGTACACAGTGACTAAAGGGGAAACAGAATCAACAACTGGATTGTTGCAGTGCTATGATCCTAAAGAAAGTCAATAACTGGCGCAATGCAGTGCTATGACTTCAACGAATACAGATGTATGACTATGTGATGATTCTTAGAGCTATAACGATACTCCTTATCTTCACAAACCAATTGGAGATCAAACTAAGCCTCTATACGGATCAGCCTGAACTAATATGTAACTTCAAAACCTACTCTCTGCTGCTCAAGCACTATACGATGAGTGTGACACAGGACAGACTGAAGTGGGCCAAGTTCTTAATATTAGTGACTGACTGTTAGTCTTATTTGTCTTCCTTTGCTGATGAAAATATGTATATTCTCCTCACAGAATATGTTTCCTGTGTCTAAAAGAGAACTGGAATATATCTGCACTAGATGACTAATAACCATGTACCAGCTAGTGTACAAAGTATGGCTCAATGTTGGCCTCAAATATGCTTCTGTATGTCATGGGAAATAGTGTCAAAAAGTGGAATGAAATAACTTAATATTTCACTCAGTATGTCACTTAGTATCTTAGAGGTGAGAGTTTAAAAAGAGCTCTCTGAACACTCTTCTTATTCTCCACTCACTTATTCACACTCAAGCTTAGATAATATGGAAATGGGCTCTCTGTACTTGGCTTGGAGCTCTCTTTATTAGAGGGGAAAATGGACCCCTTATATACTACTCTACTAGTGGCTATGCTACTGATTACTAATCTACCATTAAAGTTTCAAAGAATGTCATAGAATTTTCCAGACTATTCCACCAAACTCCAGTGTTGTCTAATAGAATATTCCAAAATCTTTCAAATCAACATTAGTGGCTATGCTCTGTGGCTATGCTAACCTGTGCTACAAAGCTATGTACACTGCCTCTGCACTGCCTGAATGCTGTACTCTCAAGCTGTGTTCAAACTTTGTTGAGATTCTCACAGTCTGATGTTAACTTGTTAAATACCATAGTGTTGGTCTTGCATATTTGTTTTTTTTTTTTTGGGTGGAACAATATTATCTGCTAGCAACTGACAAGGTCAGTCCTAGTAGATACATTGGAGGTACAGGAGTTGCACCTGTAGTTGTAAAGATAATCACCCAGAGGAAATACTTTATGTACGCAATTTTGCAGTGTGGGACTTGGCGCCTTTTCGGATTTACCTATTCCGTACTGCAGGACGGTGGGGCGCCATACCCACTAAAACCCCTGATTTGTGGACCCAATTGTCCAGGAGATATTCCTCATTCAGTAATACTCCGCTCCAGGTTTTTAGTACCATCTCCGATTTGAGAGCTTTGTTCCCGTATCTCGACGAGTCAGTAAATAATTGGTCGAATTTCAGTCTTGTATTCATGGTATGTACCCATCTGTTATATACCTCAGTTTCTGAGTGGAATTTCTCATGTTTGCCTTCGTATTTGATGACTCATTCGCACCTCAGTTTCCAAATGAGGTGGGCTGATTCCAGCACTATTATTTTGAAGAGTCTACTCTTTCCTATCATTTTCTTTCCGTTGTTGTCGCAGAATGTGGCTAAATTACATCCTAAAATTGTGCCGAAACAGATTTCCGGCCAGGTGGCTTCTCTCTTACACCAGAGGTCTTGTGCTGCCTTCCATATCGTTCTCGGTGGTGTCAACTCGCATTTGAGGAGGATGTGTTCCATCGTTTCAGGTACGCTGCATATATCGCATATCCCTCTTCACTCGAGGTGTGGGATTTTACCCCAAAACTCACCTATCTTATATGCTCCGTGTAAGCATTTCCATAGGAAACCTCTTATGTTTTTTAGGGTATCACAATCCCTTATCGACGACCAGACTTGTTCACTGGTCGGTGTTTGACTGGAGATGTCTCTTGTGGCATGTATTGCCATAGCCATGTTCATGTTGGTACATCTGCGTTGCTTGGCTGGTTGTCTTGCTCGTCTGATATTTTGGTAGAACAGTTTTTGTGATCCTACACTTAGTTTCATACCGGTGAGCTCCAGTGGTGCGTCTATTTCGGTTGGTATGTTGTCGTGGTTATCTTTTAGTAGGCATTCTTTTGTTTGGAGCTGAAGTTTATCGGTGACGTATTTCGGTGTGTTTTTGTCCCAGTCCAAGAGAGTTATTAAAGTTGATCTCACCCTCAGTTTTGCTATCAATGCTTTCATTATGTTGCTGTTTGGGTGAGTGATCCAGTTTGTGTCCTCAAGTCTTGGTAGATTGACGGTTAAGTCCTTTCGTAGTTTCAACGTCTTGGTGGTTATATGTATGGGAGTGTCGGTTTGGAGAGTGGAGATAGCCATGAGGAGTGCACCAATTTCCCCAGCTCTGGGGCCAGCTAATTCCTCTGATAGTTTGACAGATACATTACATGGGTCATTGTTATCGAACCAGGCTATGCCCGCGGATACATGGTTGCCATCGATGTTGATTTGGTGGGCATCGACTGTTGTTATCCTGGCTATTTCAGGGGTGTGCCTTTGTGGGGTGGGCATTTGGCTCGCCAGGGAGGTGCATGGAGGCCTCTGGGTTACAAATGCTTGGAAACCTTCGTCTAGGGTCTTTGGGGATGGGAATATGGGGCTGAACATTGCGGGTGTTTTGTCGCTATCCATTGTTTTGTTGTTGGGTATCTGTTCGGGGGCGATGCGGAGAGTATATGATGGCGCACTCGTCTCTGGGTTCCACTTAGGCAGGATGCAGGTGAGGAGTTCCTTAGCTAGGATTGCGCATTTAAATGGTTTTTTACATTGCAGTGACCTATCGTTTGTGCAGTGTGGGCAAGGGCAGTCTTTGTGCTTATGGTGTGTGGGATCCTGTCATTGTGTTAGGATTTCAATATCGTTGACTGAACATATTTTATGGTTGTCTCTTAAGCAGTGGGCATACAGGTGATTGTTTAGTTTATTGATACTGTCAGAGGCACCTATGTGGAACCAGATGGGTAGTTGGCAGGCTACTGCTGGTTCTATGGTTATGGCTTCCCATCTGACATTGTGTCTCTTAGCAACTTTAAGGATACATTTCAGGTGAGCGGGCAGCTTTTTCAGGGATGGATCCCATGTCTGAAGGAAATTGCTAATCTTTGCATTTTGTCTTACAACAGGAGAGTTCTGCACAGCTTTGTCGATGATCGCGTTGGCAAAAAAGGCCCATGGAGGCCTTTCTAATGTCGGGGCAAGGAGGCCTTTGAGCCATTTGAGTTATATTGCTTCATTGCGGTCTCGTAAGTTCAATATATTCTTACCTCCTTTGCTAATTGGTGAGAACAGTATATCCATACTAACAGCATTGTGGCCTCCGCTATCCCATGCAAACTCGCGGGTTTGTTTCATCAGCAAGTCTTCAATGTCTTTTGGCATTCCTTGGGCGGTCATTAGGTATTGCGACATACTTCCCACTGTGCGTTGGATGATGATCTTGCGGCCTTCAATGGTCGGGTGCCATTTCTCCCATCTCTGTAGGGTGTTCTCAATTTTGTCGAGTATTGGTGACCAAATTGCATGCTCGTCAGTGTTGTTTCCAACCCACGCTCCTAGAATCCTCGTGGCTTTGCCATCTTTGGCTATCTCTATGTTGTCTGGTAAGCACTCTTGTGAATCATTTATTTTATGAGTTACTAAGACGTTCTCTCGGTATTCTTTCGATCCTACAGGAATGATTTCTGTTTTTTCGGTGTTGAATTTCGCACCCGAGGCCTTACACCAGCATTGTAGGATGTCTGTCAGGTCGCTGAACTTGTCATTCTCTGTCAGGTAGACAGTTGTGTCATCAGCAAACATCGTGACTACCATACGGTACACCATTTCTTTGGCTTTGAATCCTGTTAGGCCAGATTTTCTTAACATTTCTGCTAGGGGTTCAATTGCTATATCAAATAGCAGGCATGATAGGGGATTGCCTTGTCTGACTCTGCGGGTAACTTGGAACTTAGAGCTAATTTCACTGTTTATCATTACAGATGTCTCCGCCTCCTCGTATAGGGATTTGACGGTCTTAATAAAGTTTTCCGGTACGTCGAATTTCCTAAGTATTTTCCATAGATACTCATGTGATATTTTGTCGTACACTTTTTCCTGGTCTAGGGCTACTATAACTCCATTGATCTCTTCGACCTCGGCGTACTCCATGATCATTTGGGTAAGTCTTATTTGGTCAGTGATGCTATGACCTGGCACGAAACCGGCTTGGTTTTCGTGGATGATGGATGGTACTGTATGCACTAGTTTGAGAGCTAACACTTTGGTGAAAGCCTTATAATCGCAGTTCAGCAAGGTAATGGGTCTATAGTTGGCTATTTCCCTTCGATCTTTCTTCTTGTGCAGCGGGTTAAGTAAACCTTCGGTGAAGCATGAGCCTTTTGCTATTCTGTTATGTTCAATGTCGTTGTATACTGCTGTCAGGCATTTGATAAAGTTAAAGTGTGTTTCATTTTCATTTGAGTCTTTGGGTGTTGACTTTGACTTTTCGTTCACCCATTTCCAGAATTCGTACGGGACTCCGTCTATCCCTGGGGCTTTTCCGTTGGGTAGTAGCTTAAGTACTTCCTCGACGTTGGCTTCAGTGAGTGTGTTTTCTAGTTCTATCTTTTCGGTTGGTCCAAGTCTGATTGTTACCGAGTTCAGGACTGTCTCAAAGGCTTGATCCCATTCGTCATTGGGAGCCAGGCCTTCCGTCTGTAGGCCGTTATAGTAATCTCTTGCCAGCTCGGCCATCTTGTCAGATCTGTGTTCGTATGTTGGGTTTCTCGCGTCAGAGTCTAGTTTTCTGAGCTCGATGATAGTATCCCTAGGTTTCTGTTCTTTACCTGACTTGGCCCAGAATTTACTGGCGGCTGATTTGCTTTCTAGCCATACTTTAGTAGCTAAGTGGTCTCTGGCATTGTCGTGTCGCAGTATTTCCATCTGATTGAGTTTCTCTTGGATATGCAGGCCTATGATGCGCTTATCTTCGTCCAAGAGGCTCACGTCTTCCATCGTGGTCTTTAGTTGGGACTTAAGATGGTTTACTTTCTTCGGGATCGTCTTCTTCGCTGCGGTTCTGCAAATGTGAATTGCTTTTTCTTTGAAGCAGCTGAACACGATCTGAGGGTTCAAGTTATCGGTGTGCTGATTTGAAGATGTCTCAATTTCAGCTTGTAATGTTTTGCCTAGTTCAATCACTTTTTCACCAAGATCCTTATCCTTGAGGACGTAGAGCGGTAGAGACCAACGCCCCTTGCCTACGTAGGGCATTCGCTTACTGGAGATTCTCGCCGAAACTATCTGGTGATCGGTGTGTATGCCGGGAGGGGTGATGTCCCATTCGTTGCTGAAAGGTAGGAGTTCGGTGCTCACGTATATTCAGTCAATTCAGGACTGACTGCCGCCTTGATATGCGGATTGTGAGAAGGTGTAGGACAGCGCACTCGGGTTTTCGTGTCGCCAAACATCTTTCATCTGGAGATGGGATTTAAGCTGGTGTAAGGAGTGAGATGCGTTAGCTGAGTCTGTGTTGGGGGCAGACGATCAAGTGAGTCCTCTACTACATTAAAATCGCCCAGCATCAGGTCTGGCTTTGGCAGGTTTCTCAGTTTCAACTTGGTTAGTTCCCAGAATTGTTGGTTTGCTTGCATGTCGTTTGGGGTGTAGATCGCAAGGATTCTGATGGGGGTGTCTTTATGCCATGGTATTATTGTAAGTAATGCTCTACCTGGTACCAGTTCATGTGTCTTGATTCCTGAAGTCCCCAGCAGCCTTTTATTAATTACTATGGCTATGCCTTTAGCGTTCGTGCACACGGGGTCGATCAAGGATATGATATGAATTCTGAAGCCTGGTGTTGCGTTTAGTATGTCCTTGTCTTCTTTAGTGAGATGCGTCTCTTGGAGGGCTAACACTCCAATTTTCTTTTCTTTGATTAGCTGGTTAATATGTGGCCATTTGTCGGTGCCATTGTGCCATCTGCTGCACATATTCAGGGATGCGACTTTAACATTCGCGCGGGTCTTACGGCCCTTGTGTTGGGTGTTTTGGCGCTGGTTCTGCGCTGTTCGGTTTGGGTCTTGGGTATGACCTTGGGGGCTATGGTGGGTAGCCGAGAGGTAGTTCTGACGGGAAGCGGGATGGGGAGTCTCATGGATGGGGTGGTCATCATGAAGCCCATTACGGCTGGAGGTGTGGTGTGGGATATCTGTGGGGGGAGGAAGGTCAGTAGATGTGTTGTGGTGCCCATCACCATAACCCGCTGGTCCTTCCTCGAGGGCATTGCTGGCGGGCAAAGCACAGCCCCCTCCGGACCTGCGAGCGCCGTCACCATTGCCATTTTTGTGTACCGTAGTTGAGTTGTTGGGGTTTTGTGTTGTAGAAGTAGCAGTTAATATTACAGCACCGTGCCTTAACCACAGCATTGGGCCACGCTAGCTTATCCCAGCCAAATGAAGGGGGAACTATGTCGTAGGCGAGTCAACTAGTTCGATAAGGCGATAAGAGTGACTTATCCATGACTTCAGTGTGTCCACACGGCACATCCCAGACCTCAAAAGGTCGCCATTTATATTTGAGAATGTCCGGAGCTTTCCTGTTCAAAGCAGTAAATGTGGGCTCCCATAGACTCAATGCTTTTGTCGTCGTGTACCTGTGTAGTATTTACAAGACAGGCTTCCCTCAATCCTTACATCGGGGGATGGCACAACGAGCTGCTTTTATTGCGTGGTCTGATAATTCTAAGACGATACATTGTACAGTTAAAGTTTGGATTTATGTGAGACGGCCGTTGAGGCTTGTACTTATTTGAGGCAGGAATGAGAGCGGCATGGTTTAGAAGGCTCTTTCTTTACCTTTCCATCCTCTACTGCGCGGTACACCGCGTGGGTGGCCTCTAGTGAAGCCTCTTCCTCGGCTGTTGTTGCTGTTAGATGCCCCATGACCATGGGCAGACATAGAGCGGTTATCAAGGGTGGCATTTGTGTCCTCGGTGGCAGAGGGACCAAACCAGCCCAGGATTTTGGGGAAGGGGCATAGCCCAGTTGGGTGGTCGAATGATTTGCAGCCGACGCACATGAATTGTGTGTCGTGGCGGGCAGTGCCGTAGCTGTAGTCTTCCGATATGTAGAAGAAGCTATGGAGGAGGGATGTCCAATCGAAATATTGCTTTGAGGTGAAGTTTGGGGGGGATTCAAAGTAAACATTCCAGACAGTTTCTTTCATTGATTTGGAATGAGCTAGGGTGAGGCTATCGACTCAAATGGATTCGATGGTGCAAATTGCCGCTTTGGCATCTGCGACGGGGATGTTATCGTGGATGTACTGAAGTACTTCGGGGTTGGCGCGGATGGTGTCTTTGACTATTTCCATGATCTCCTTATTGGTGGCTTCAGAGTCGGGGAAGGAGAAATTCTCCAAGGTGAATGCATAAGTGGGGAGTGACTGTTCGAAGGGGATGAAGAAGCACGAGATCTCTGGCGATGAGCACACCTGGAGACGAACAAGGTGTTTGATCGCCTCGGGGGGGATCCTGGATATTAAGAAGTGCCATGGGGGGGGGAGTCTTTCGACGAGTTTGACAGCAGCGGTGGGGGTGCTTACGACTAGAGTTGCTGCGTCTGAATCGCCTATAATCTTGGTGATGGCATCTTTAAGTTTGGCTACCGTATTCTGGGCGTTGCTTTCGTGCTTGGCCTGGTAGGTGCGTACCCATGCCTTGGCACCCTCCTTCTGGGGCCACTTTTCCTTCAGTACTTGGGAGATGTTGCGCCATGTTGATTGGCCGAGTTGGGGGGTTGGGAAGCCACCCGGCAGGGTTGCGGTGATTCTGAAACCGCTATTCAGGGTTCTAACGCCATTTACTAGTGATTGTATATTAGTATACGAAAAGTTTATAGGTGGTTGAGGCCTACCCGAAGTTTCAGGTGTGACTGTGTTGCCCGACCTGAGAAAGTCCCATTGGTTCTGGGCCGCAGGTGGTTGGGGGGGTCTTTCAATGTTCGGGTGTTTGTTTGTGAGAGCGGAGGGGGCAGAAGTAGGATTCTGTACTAGTCCAGTGGACTGGTTGGAGGTAGGGTTGGTGTCTGCGACTGGGGAGGCCGGGCGGTTCCTCTTGCCAGCGCAAGAGTCCGTATTCATATGGTGGGTTGGGGGGGTGGTTGCAGTGGTGGATATGGTGGTGGATGTGATGGTGGTAGTTGGTTGGCTCATGGTGGATGGACGATGTCTTTGACTTATATCTTGGTTCGTTGAGTATAACGATGAGGTGTGGGAGGTGACAGTTCAGGCTTGTTGAGATTTATCAAGGTCTTGCAGCTTTTAAGTGTTTGCTCAGCTGAGATCCTTTATTGAATGTGGGAAGGAGTGTTCTAAGGTCCTTTGTGAGCGTGGAGTGGCTCATGAGTGGCGGTGTATTATGTGAGGGCGAACAAAGATCTTTGTTGTTCTTATCGGGGCATTGTGCCACGCGGTCCATTGGAACATTGGTGGCGAGTGTGCTCGTCGTTGGTCTTCGTGGTGATGCAAGTGTTCCTCTTAGCGGTCTGGTGGTGCATTAGAGTGCTTTATTGCCAGGGGTGGAAGAGGATTCCATTGCAGTTGGTTCTTACTGTCTGGTGGTTTGGGATTTGTGTGTTGTAGGTGACGGGCACGCGTTTCTTGCATGTGGGGCTCTCAGTAACAACTCTGCTTGGGGAACTAAGTTATAGATTCATGTAGTGAATAATGCTATGTTCTATGTGAACACTGGCAGCATCGGGTGACACCCTGTGTGGGTGCCACCCTACCTGAAGGTGGTGGTTCAGGTCCAAGAAGCCTCCACCATCAGAAAGTTGGGGTGTTCTGTCTTGCATATTTGTTATGATGAAGCTTTGCATGGGTGTCATAACGTGCCACCAAGTCACATGAGACTGATTATGTAATGAAGTTTGAAGTCTTTCAAACTTTCCTCTCAGTACCGTAAAAATGAAAAACCCGCATATGTGAATATGTCAGAACATGACACAAAACATACCCTAGAATATGTGAAAATGCATGGGAAAATTCTAGGAGGTGTGAGAAACTGCTGACTAATTGACAAATCACAAGTTTGAAGGCAATCTTTCAGAAGGATAAGTATTATTTTAAACCATTAAGTAGTACTGAGCAAATTTGAGCCCAAAAATACTCAAATAAAATATGGACGATGCATAGAAATTTCTGGGTAGACCCATAGGCTATTATGAAAGGTATTATAAGCCAGATATTTGCCATGTTCATGTACAAAACAGGTTTCGTGCATGTCAGCACACTCATCCTACCTATGTCCAGTCTCATCGCGCTAGCCCCACTAGGTGCGTAGTTACTTGTTTTCACATCCCTAACATTGTCGACTGCGTTATTACATGTATTCCCATAGTCCACAGTACATCATGTCTTATTACATAGGACATCGGACCCGAAATATTGCGCTACTACTTTCACCTGTAGGGTTCCAGATTTCTATGTATCTACATAAATATTGGACTCCCCATAGCATCATCATCATCCGAGTAGAGGAGAATCGTCTCTGACACTTGGGGGTCAAACCCGATAATTTGTAGTTCTTAGTTGACATTGCAAATATCATTGTTCCTTCACTGTCCATATCCATCATGGTTATTATTGCGCACACCACTCGCTTTCCCAACGCTCGCTATCATGTTACTATTAGTTTCCGATACCCCAAACCCGAACCCAATAACCCAAAACCCAAAAAACATCGGACCTAATGCTTTTGCATCGGATATCATAATTATACCTTCAGACATTGTTTCCTGTGCTCGGATTATTGACCTCACATCACCCACTGACCCCCAAAACTATTCCCAGACCGCAGACCCCTGGGTCGAACACACTTGTCACCAAGTATAGCAGACTAGGCAGTGCAAGACCACAACATAAAGATATCAGTTTGGAGCCATCTTTGTATAGCCCCACTCTGTGTTGTATACCTACACCAGTTCCGTCCAGTTCTTGGGCCAATTTTTCCAAACACCAAACCGAACCATAGGTTCGGTTTAGCCATTTGGTCGAACCCTGGACCGAATGTCACTGAACACGTTCGGGAGGTCCAGTTCGCATTCAAACTGGGTTCAATTAAGCTTTCAGACGATAGGCCGGAGCTCCACCATGCCATTCCCAACACCACAAACACCATACACAAACACCCAGTGCATGTCAGCAACTGCTGATGTGGCTTAGACAAATGTGGACGACAGACAAGAGTAGGAGGAGTAGTGTTGCTGCGAAGCAAACTGAAGTGACAGACACTGGTAGCAGAATCAAGACACATTGGGTAGAAACCAATTTGGTTGCACCTAGTAAGATCGTCAGATTAGATATCGATGCCAATAAAAATGCATACACCATTCAAAACCACGATCTGTTGGCATTATCCACAGTGATATTAGTCCAGTAGATGGCAGTCGGGTCAAACATCCCTAGACAGGTTCCGTCTTCACCGTCAGCAGTGCAAGCGACATCACATCCCAAGAGCACGTACTGTACATCTTGATCAGGACAACCTTCATCATCCAATCAATCAAAAATAAAATGGACCACATACTATAATTGTAGTATGTAGTATTCCAATAGTTGCCCCAAGAGCGAATAGCATGATCAAGTCCCCATCCTTCAGGTCCAGCATTGACACTGTCCTTGACCTCGAGTGCATACATAGATGTCCGTTCTATGTATGCATTTAAGATTGAATGAAATGCAAGGACGACTCACGTGCAGTGGCGAAATTGGCAACATGTGTTACAACCGCTATCTCATTCTTCTTGTACTCATACGATATGCCTTCCTTTCTTGGAACTGTACTTACTATCTCACGATGACTTGGTCTGTGCGCACATATGGACCTATTTAAGCACATGTATTACACTTGTATTCTTCACTTGAATCTTACTAGGTTTTACCTGGAACTTCCTTCGCTTAAGACCTCCAATCTTAAGTCATCTTGAAACCCGATTCTTAGTCAAAGCACTCCTTTGACTAAGTCCACAGAACTCTCTCTTGTCTGAGAGACTGAGAATCTCAACAACCATAAACTCTGTCGAGTTGTCGTTGTTAGAACTATCCTAGTTCGTAACAAAAGATTCAAGTTGAAAGACACCACACATCTGTGTGTGTCCAATACCAAAGAACAAAAAAGACCAACCGAAAACAAGAAGAACGGCTGAGCAAGACAGCCAGCACAGACAGCAGAC